ATACTGACCAATCGATAAGAGTGCTCGAAAAATGAAGACTCGTTTTGAAAAGAAAATCAATAAGATACATATAAATAATGCAACTGACGCAGTTATGTCTGTAACTCTAGGTTTTTGTTTGTGGTTTATAACACAATTACTGGCCACACAGACATTTCATCTTCTGTTCGTTAAACAAAAAGGATTCATTGTAGACACTTGTATATATCTTTCAAGAAGAAGATTAAGTTCTTATTTCATAGTAACTTCAAAGCAATAAGAAGTTAATAAAATAGTCAGTTCTAGATTGCACTAGGATCTTTCATTATACGGATTGACCAGTTCAAACAAGACAGCTTTATTTCTCGCGAAACGAGCAACTTGAAGTCTGAAAAACTCCCTTTTTTCAAACCACTTAATTCATTCATTATAAAAAAGCGTTTGAGGTTTAGCAATTTTGTAAATGTTTCTGGTTCGTTTTTATGTTTTGAATATTTAATGTAAATTAGTTTTAACTGAGTTAATTAATCCTTTTAAGTATATCCGTATTCTTGTTTAATTCGAGCTTTTCTTTAAGAAGTTGAAATACATATACGAAGCTGCTAGAGGCACAGTAGCCTAACTACAATTTTATGACTTGAGTTATGTATATTGTCATAATCTAAAAATGTTATTCCAAAGCATAGAGACCGAAAATTGGTAACATAATTCTTACACAAATAATAGAACAAATTCATTTTCGCATAAGTTAATTGCGCATTTTTATTTTCCTCGATATTGAAAATCATGCTTTTCGTTATTAGGCCACTTTGCCTCTAGCAGCCTCATAAATTCGCTTAAACTACATTCTAGTACATATTTTAGTGTGTATTTATAACACCTTGAAGACGGACTGTCTGCAAAACTGATATGGCGAGAGTAACAAAGGTTTAATCAAATTCTAACTAATGTTTAAGCCTTTACAGAGGTGCCTTAGAAACATTATTTTAGTGTAATTAATGATAGAAGGCATACATATAATACACTGAGTTAACCTAAGTTTATATATGTGATATAATATTTAAATGAAATAATTGTAACGATTTATAGCGTGAAATATGTTCACTAATTCGCTGCATAGCTTCCGAAACGGTGGACTATCTTTGAAAACAGGAACTCCTACAATTCCTGCACATTATAGTTACTTGCTAACTTATAGAATATTCACTTAGATTACTTAACTGAAAGTTACGGAGAAAGAAAGAAGTTTCTCAAGGACATTTCTATGGCTAAAGATAATACAATATCTTGACTAGTTTATAGTATAGTATTTTGCTCGTAAGTTTTATTATATTACGCGGCGCGGAGCCTTTTTATTATAAAAATCTTACTTTATAGTTTCTGCAGTAGGAACTTAATAATTTTATTATTCGAAGGATAACAAAACTTTACCCTCTTCAAATAGTTTAACATTGAAAATAATTTGAGCTCCTCTTTGTTTGTGAAAAGCTCACTACTATGCAACTGATAAATTTGAATTCAAGTTCAAAAGGTTAAAGACAATTTTGGTTGAATATTTACTTGTTAAATATCCTTTTTAACAGGACCTTAGAATACAAATTGGCGCGGGTTTCGAGTTTCAGGTGAGTCCGATATAATTTAAAAATCGAAAATAAATTGAAAAAAATTTCGACTCCGGCGAGACATACTTAATTACTTGTTCTTGATCCCCCGTGACCACGACTGCTGTAAAACATCTGAAACGTCTTTAGTTAAAATACGTTAATATATGTCGTGATTTAAACCGTTAAAGTATCTTAGAGGATTACTTGTCAGATTGGTCTGATTTTTCTTTAGAATTTGTAAATATATCTTCCCTATATCGCACTGAATAGTGAACTGAACACAAGTAAGGAGTTCACTAATAAGAAGTAGCAAGGCTTAGCAACGATTGAGGTATTTGTAAAGATAAGCCGACACCAGCTGCCACTCTCGGTAGTAGCTCGTTATCAAAACTTCAATTCCCATTCCAGCTCAATGAGTCGTTAGTGAAAAGATTTCGTTTATTCTTGATCAGAGAATAATCTATTTTTTATTACATATTACTTATATTATGTTCTCGTAGTTCCCACCCTTGAACTTCAAATATTTATGAAGGCTAACCAATGTAAAGATATTCAAAATGAGATTTAAATAGTTTTGGAGCAAGTTTTAATTTTTCAGTAAAAATCGAACCTAGGACCTCTCGTGCTATCGAAAAGTTAAGAAACACGTTTAACAATTGAGCTATATAGTCGTACATAAAACTATACGTTAATACAGTAAAAACGATTAAATTTTGAAAAAAAAAAATGTTTGGATTAGTTTTTTTTTTAGTATCCTTTCCTGTAGCGACAACAGAAAAACAGTTTGTAATTTATTTATAAAATAGTTGTATGGATTTAAATTAAAAACACTTTAACGGTTTAAAACGCGATATATTATTATTTATTACGCCCCGACGTTTCGGATGCCTTGCAGCAGACGCGGTCACGGGGAGACAAGTTTAACTAATATATATATCGCGTTTTAAACCGTTAAAATGTTTTATTTAAATGTGTATCTTGTAAAATACAGACGGCATTTAGTTTCAATAAAGCACTTCAACGGTTTAAAACGCGATATATTAGTTAAACTTATTTGAAAATGATTTTTAACTTCGGCCCGACGTTTCGGATGCTTTGCAGCAGCCGTGGTCACGGGGAGACTGTGAGTGTTTTATTTATATGTGTACTACTCGCGTAAACTATAGACAGTATTTAGTTGTATAGATCTTAATATATAGCCGGTTACAGACACAGCGAATATTTAGTAAGACACAGTAATAATTTCTCCAATGATGTAATCTTGATCGTACTGTCTGTTTAGAACTAGCGTAATAGTCTTGATACTTTACGAATATTAAGCTGCACGAGTGCTTAACTTGAAAGCCCGTAAAGCAGTCATTAAGTTGCAAACGTAAGCTGTCACTCAGAATATCCATTTTATTATCCGAATATAAAAGCCTTTATGACCCTTTTTGATTGTTACACTAGCGCGTTTATATGAATTTGGTTTATGGTAATCTATTTAAACAAATATACTCGGTACTAATATTATAAACGTATTTGTTTGCACGCGCTAATCTCACGAAGTACTGGTTCGAATTGAAAATTTGGTTTGTATTGCTTGAGCCATTTATCGAGTAAGGCTATAAAAGGTCAGGTTGCGACCAATAGGATAGTAAAATGGGGGAAAACACTATTCTTTCAGGGTTACCATGCGTGCGCTGCGAAAACCGTTAGGATACCTAAAAAAATTATAGAAGTATTAATCTTTAAATGATCTTTAAAATATCACAGTAAGCGTTTTTATGGTAATAAAATTCTGTCGATATCTTTATATGGCAAAAGAACAATTGCCAGGTATAATATTTAATATGGAGATAACATTGTAAAGAGGGCGTGTTTTTTTCTTATATAATAAAACCACCCGCTACATTATACATACATTTATTCGAAAATATTGTTGAAGGAAGCATTGAAAAAAAAAGGATCAAAATTAGTAAAGCGCGGTACGCGTACATACAACGTATCTAAAAAGAATTTAATACAGCAAAGTAAAACACTTACAAAATAAGTACATGCTATCAAAGATCATAATCAGTTAACGTTAGCACGTAAGAAGTGTAGAAGTAGCGTCCTTTACGTTTTTATATAAACACAATTCAAACTCATGAAATCACATACAATCATATTTCTTAAACAATATTTGGATTCTAAGGCACTGGTTTTGGTTCTAATTTGATAACGTAAAACATTATACAATTGAATATACTAATTATAATTATGTTTTTATGGTAAGGAAAGACAGACAAACATAGAAATCACTTGACAGAAGGAACAAACCGATATATTTAACCTTCTATGATACATGACTGTCGCGCTGTCGACCCGACCTATTATAGCTTGGCACAATCGGATTGAATTGTGTGAATTAAGAAATTAAATAACAATCTACATTTCTAATTAAATTACAATTCTTTGTAAACTTTGGAGGTTTTACAATATGCTTTTATACAAATATAACAAAATTTGTACCTCGCAGGTGACAAAAAACAAAAACAACTATAATATACATTTGTCTTTGTAACAATAATTTACTCGTAATAATCTATAATAGACAATATAACGAAGGAAATTGAAATAATGTTGAACGGTGCCAGTTCCGCAACTTTTAGAACTTTTGAGTATTACAACATTACTTTTACCATACAATTTATACAGATAAAATGTAACGGCGAAAAAAATCACGGAAGACTACATCGTCTAGGATAAATGCACTTTCCGTTACCATTATTAAACAACCATATCAAAACGTAGAAAATCTATTTGTCGATTATACAATATTAATCTGTACGCAAACAACTCATTTCAAATACTTGTCTTTCACATACATATTAACTGCAGTTTTTGATATAGGATATTTCCGTAAGTTCATGTAAGCAAAGAATATATATCGCAAAATGCAAGCAAAAAAGTGGTATATATTTATGAAGAAACAAATATACTAAGGCGGTAATTAGGTAATTGCGGTATATTTTTTTTTACCCGCCGACGGCGAAGCGAAAGGTAATGATGTAGCTATGTAAATATGATAGAATTTAAAACTAAAGATTTACCGGTGTTCAATGAAAAAAAATATTGTGGATAGCCATTCAAACATTTATATCATTTAAATAAAGATAGTTAAAGCTTTTCACTGATTCTGTCATTTGTTATCTATAATTTTATGAACTGTATATTGTGATTCTGAACAATGATCTCTATTACTATGAATGTAAGAGATATTATTGATTAACGTTCTTAGCATTTTTGTTTGCTTGTTCATCGAAAGCCTCTAGGCGTCAAATGGTGAACATTAAAGTGATAAGCGACAGCAAGCAACGCGGTGCGATAATCGAATACGAGTAGAAAGAATTGCGCCAACCATTCCGTGGGAGAAATTCTTTCTACGTCCGGATGTCAACGGGCCGCGGCCATCAGCCGTTCGCACTGCGCCAGCAGGTACTTCTTCTGCTGCTCGTCGTATAGGAATATGACTTTCCCGGAGCCGGAACTCGGGAACATGCCGAGCACTTTTCGCTTTGCGGTCGGGATGTATACGCCCTTGTTGACCGCGGTCGGCACCTCTGGTATTTCCGTCCATAGGTACATCCAGACAATCTGTTTTTGGATAAGACATTTAGTGTGGTTTTAGAATTTGAAAGCCGTTTTGGTCTAGTAATATGTGCTTTTGGAGAACAACAGGATACACGCCTTTTCAGGCTATAAAATTAGAATGTCCAAAACCCAAATAGGCCGACAGCGCATCTGGTTGGCCCATATGGCTGGGGTATTTCAACTACCATCAAATGAACTCTATGCCTGTTTGTTGTTCTCTGTTATAAAAATATATATATAGATAATAAAACCGAATAATATTCGATATTAATCTCATAAATTTTCGATTCCTAATAAAACACGGTAATTGTGGTAAAAGTTTGTCAATATCTTAATTTCAATAATACGACAAGGTAAGGTATTTGACATACACGATAACAGTTTAATTATACGTATATAAGTACTACGTTACATCTTAAACGTATTGGTTTATTCTACCCTTTAAGTATTTAGCACTAAACATTGCAACGAATTTTTAGCAATTATAAAACCTTAAGTAAGCCCATTTGAAATACACCTGTGAACGTAATGAAATATTTATATCAAATTACTGCGCGTTGGCGACGCGGAGTAGCCGTTACATAATACATGACACGGTCCGACCGCGTTTATTTTATCCTGTTAAAGCTTGCAAGCCTATCCCAACATTAATTATAGGAAAACGAAACGTTTATCACTTAATTTGTTATTTGATATCTTACATTATATGTATATACTATTCCATATTTATTAGGCTGCCGATCTGTCCGACGACTATTTCTAATTCATTGTGATATACTGATTTAAAATATTGTCTACATATTGTTGAAGTTTAATTGTTAAACTATTTAAGTTAATAGTAAAGTATATATTTTTGTATGTATAATCTTAAACTCTGATGCTCTGTTCAGAACGTCAGATGGACGGGAAAAACTGAATAGGTTTATAATCCATCTTTAATATTTTATTTGTATTGTGTTTTTATATATTAACTAGCGTCAGCAGCCTCCTAACGCTAGCAACCACACGGTGTTGTCCAAGACAAGAGAGCAAGCAAGAGTGTACTTATAGATAAATTTTTGGCAAAACACGTATTAAATTCCTCAACTCATGAATGTAGACCAGACCAAAACGCCTCTCATTCTTCATTTTGGCTTGTTTAAATACCTTTTTTTACACACCGAAATCTATATTTACATACACAACGGAAAAACAAACTAAACCCGTCGCTTATACTATGTTTTAAAATTGCACTAAAAGCGTACCTGCCATCCACCAAACACGTTATTCTTCTCGAGGTAGAAGAGCCGCTTGTCTGTGCACATCACCACCTCTTTACCAGCTATCACCCATACATGCGCCTCGTATGTGTCGGTGCTCACGAATTTTCCCTATATTAACATCGTCATAAGCTTTATTGAAATTGTAGGTATGAACAAGAAAAATTGTGCCACCCGAGTAACGTGTACCTTAGAATTATTTGAAGATCCTTCGAGCCGGAGATAATACTATATTCTTGCAAATAATAAAATCATACCTTTTCGAGTTCAGAGAGCATCTTATATCCTTCCGCTTGCGACCTGGAGTAGGGTCTAACGCCTGCATCTGGTGGCAAATATCTTGCAGCTCTACGCTTCGTCACTTCTTCAGACATATCCGCGGCCCTGTTATATAATTTTACTATTGAAATGAAAAGCGAACATACTCTAAAAAAGGGCAATTGATTCTTATTAACACCTTTACAGAGTGATTTTAGAGTAGGACAGATAGACGGTTGATAAATAACCTGATTTTAATTGAGGTTAACCTTTAACAGAACATTTGTGTCGATCTAATTTATCGTTGTAAATATGAAACCCACTACATACAAATGATTGGGGACAGAGTATAAAGAATGTATTGATGAGTCCTATGTTATTGCTACTGATTGCGAATAATGCTGTACCTAATTGCAAATGGTTTTAGTGTTAATGACAATTATAATGAAAAATAACAATCATCTACTTTCTCCATATAACGACACTAGTATCGTTTTTTGGTGGCAAACAATACTTAAATGACGACACCTCATCTCGTCTAATACAATGTACTAAAACGTAAAAACTACGTCTGCGACAGTAGTATTATTATTGCACCTCTTAATTGAGGTGAGTAGTGTGGAGGTAAAGTCGACAAATCCGCCAGCTGGTCTAATGACAAGACCGAGCACGCCAAGACCGAGTCCGCGAGCGAAACCGGGCACGCCACCAGTCGTGGCCCCGCGGACTGGCCTCTCCACAACGCCACGAACACCTTCCACTACGCCCTACAGAGTATGACTTTGCTAGATCGACTTTTAGAAGTTCTATTCATTCATTTGAGGCCAGTTGCGCCCTGCCTTACATGGGATTCGAACCCAGGATATCTCTCGCTTTATGCAGTAAACGTGTTAATCTGATGGAGAGAGGGATAGAGATCTGACGTTCCGATTACCATAAAGCGGTTACAATAATTCACTAAGAAATATTTTATTTTCTAGAATTTACCGTTCGAAATAGTTTTGCTCCTATTAATATTTAATTATATCAAAAAAAGGAGATTTGATTCGGTTGCTTTTTCCGCTTGTGTTAACAAAATATCATCTCATATTTTCCACGAGAGATTGTTTGCTCACCGTATCAAAAATGTGTATGTGATAACGATAGCAAAAAAACATTTTCGAAGATTCAATTATTGGCTTAGACGAGCATCCAATTACGATCGTATGTATCGATATATTAGGGTAATAATATTCTGCCTGACAATAATATCCATTAATAATAAATAACAGTTAGGTTTTTACGAATTAAATGAGATAGTGTCTATAAAAAATGCAAGTAAACAATTACTATTCCCGTAGAGACAAACTTTGGGTGCACATAGTGAAAAGAGAAATATTCTAATCATATAATAAGATGTGAAGTCAACATATTTTTATTTAAAAACATTTAAAAAATCACAGGCTGAAACCGATTCGTATTCGGTTTCAGTGGTCGGCCGGACGGACCCATTTACCAACGAGAATGGACATGAATTACCAAATGTTTAGGAAAAAACAATTGACATCATTGACAGCTTTTTATTATGAAACAATCGGGTTACGTATTTTTGGTGGTTTTTGGTTTCAGGAGTCCATGTATCGAACTTACTGCGTTTCCAAATGTAATCCGTTTGGATCAATTTAATAGTTGAGTTGCGTTTATTAGTTTTAGACTATTAAAATAGTGTTTTGTACCGTATAAAGAGACGTTTATTTTAAGTATTCTATCCTGTCATCCGACGGCACTTCATTATATAATAAGTAAGTTTTTAGAGCCGTGCAACACTATAAAGATACAAATGGATACACTCACAACTCCCAAACACAGACACCACCGCCATAAAACATTTTACGAGCTTATAAATCTAACAAAGCGTTGGTGCATGCAAGCATAATTTATACGACATGATGTGATTTCGAAGCTACTGGATGATTTAAATAGATAAATATAACACCGGCAAGGGTGATCGTTTTTGTGACTCCAATATCCGATCATATCGCATAAATAAAAAACATCGCATGCATATGCTCATATCAGAAGCGAAATGTAGTGATATACAAATTCTTATAATAGAATTATATAGAAATAAAAACTTCGAGGAAACATTTTTTTAATGGACGGTAGCACAAAAACGATCACGCCCAGCCTAAATCACCTCTTGACGGCGTCAAAGGACCCTGACGCGAAGTCTACGACTCCAGCTGTGGGCCTCGCTACTAGCCCCACGGCACCGACCCCCAGACCTTTGAAGAACCCTTCGACGCCCTCCTCTCGAGCGCCATCTATCGGTTTCGTGAATACCCCAGTGACGCCGTCGAATATCCCCTGGTATTTGAAGAGTTCGTAATGTAACTAAGTATTTTTGTTGATTGCAATTACATATGGTGCTGTTTAGTAATGTTTGATAGAGATGTAGTTATGTAGTGTGAAGGTAAGTTTTTTTTACGTTAATACACAAGTTTCGTCAAAGTAAATGTACTTTGTAACTTTTATATGTTACTCAAACGTTTGCTTAAACTTGACGACTATTGCTTTATCAATAGTTATTTTAATTGAACCTCACCATAACAAGCCCTTTGCCACTTCTGGCTAGACCTTCCTGCAAGTTAGCCGGAGGTTTGTTTATGTTGTCTCTTCGTCTTCTTTGATATTCCTGTGAATAAAGTACATATAATATATATATGTATTGGATTTCTTTCCATAGTTATTAGGCGCAACCAATTCTAAAGAACAACTTGCTATAATATATGAATATATAGGACGATCAGTACATACATAGTTATATATTTTGATCAATGTTACCTTATCCAAGGAAAGAGCTGCAAGACCATGCCCCATAGCACCAGTTATCCTTGAAACTGCCCCAGCAGCACCTCCAACCGTATGCCCCACTAGTGACCGAACCCCTAACATCAGTCCTTCAGCGAATTCACCAGGTCCTTGAATTGCTCCCTGTAATTATAATGACGTTTAACAGAGATATACTTAAATCCATCGACTGACGTGGTTTTTTCATTTCCAATATTAATTTCTGTTGTCAGACGGTAATATACGAAACAATTACTTCTCAGCGCACACTTTCACGCTAATAAACATACATATTTTACTTACGCTAAAGTTATAAAAACATTTCTAACCTGGAAAGGCTCATAGAATAAGTCCTCCACGCCCTTTTTGAGGCCGATGACCAGACCATAAGGATTTCCGATCACATCCAACCCCAGTACGAGTACGTAGAGCTGTTTCAACGCTTGGCCCGTGTAATGGTTCTGAACTTGGCTGATTAGTTCCTTCTGCGAGAGGAACTCGTAATTCCGCTCGTAGTACGATAACCTGGTAATCAAATAAATTGTGTAAGGCTTTCACGGCCATCGTTCAGCATATCATTGTCTTTCGGGCTGTTCGGCCGACGTGAGCGAAGAAGAGGTTCTCGACGTTGCGCCATCACGTGTGGACGGCATCATCAGATGTTGACTCTTCGATTGCTCGAAGATTTAATTCTTTACGTCGACCGAACAGCTCGAAAGACAATGATATAACCTGGTAATCATTTCATAATAACTCCTCAAGAACCAAAAATAGTTTGAAAGGAATAGTTATTTGGTAATTTATATTTGCACACGAGGGATAATATAAATTTAAAAACATTAAAAGGTTGTTTTAAATAAGCGCTATGCAATTTGATATTTTGTATGTGTATATTCATAAATAACAACATTGCTACTCAAACCCACGACCGACCAAGCTATTCTGGGATCTAGCTTGTTAAGTACCTCAGTATTTCTGTACTTTCTAACGTGAGAAGAGAAAATCATCTTACAAAATGTGTAAAAATCTTTATTAATAAGTACAAATAAAATAAAAGAAGAAAACAACTGTAATACGATAGTTCTACATGGCACGACGGCAATGTTTTGGCATTTTTTTTAATCAGCGCCAATCCACCGTTTTATTATATCTTTGACACGCTCACTAACTTTCTTTACCTCCTTAGTAGGGTAAAGTTCTGGAAACAAGTCCGCAGTATGTGTGCCATTGCGAACCACTATAGCTGGAGCTTCTTTTGACAAATCTTGGAGAATACCCAATCTGCTCCAAGGGTCAACGTCACCATTCGTAAAAACCACACGAGTAACATTGGGGTTCATACCACCATATAAAGCATTAGTTGCTTTTACCCCTTCATCAACCCTGGCTTCATTAAACCTCGCTCCATACAAAACCTCACATGTTTTTATAGAATATTCCAGAGTAAGAACGCTCCCGAACGGTTGGTTATTAGATGTGGATGTTTGGAAATATCCAAATTCAGTACAAGTTTGATAAATCCACATGTATAGACTTGGTGTGGCTTTCGTCTCTCGGATTGACGTTTCAAATGTAACGTCGAGACATTTTGAATCCTTCATAAATTCCTTCTTCACTGTTGACACATCGTCCAAATTTAAGCAATGCTTTTTTATTTCTTTAGGACCACCGGATTGCGCGTTGGTCATGTAACGATCGACCAAAAAAGAAAAGAACACCCATTGATTTTCTTTAATGCTTAAATCATTGTCTGAACATATGCTAAAATTGCTTTTAAGCACTTCTAAACCGTCATGACTTTGGAGCATTTTTTCGTATTGGACAAAATTGTTTCGTATATTGTCCACGCATTCTTCGGATCCGAATTTATGGTAGTCTTCCTGTACTTTTTCCAAGTACTCGTAGAAATCGTTTTTCGCCAAAACAGGACCGCTGCTAGCGATAGCAGCATCAACTAAACCAGAATATAGAAGTCTCATCCACGCAGCCAAGTTACCCGCGTAAGATGCACCAATTACCACAACTTTCGACAATTTGAACACAAGTGTGGATTTCAATTTCTTTATAAGATTAGCAATATCAGCTAAAGCTTGTCTCGCCGTCAACCATTTCATACGATTTACGGTAACTTCTTTGAATGGTATACTTTTTCCATAATATCTATGTTCGGTCAAAAACATAGCTCCTTTTGTCTCTTGGGCCAGTTTTCAGTAAAGAGGGTTTCAAAGTATCTCATTTTCCAGGTATCATAATTATTATCGAAATTATCAATTTTTTGCGAAATCCATTTTGTTTGGGTGGTATTTAAGTCTTTTATTTTTAAATTCAATAGCTTTTCAGTTATAAAATGATTGGTGTCAGTGTAAAGACTTTTACGAGAATCAACACATTGTAAATAATAAAAAAAGAGAAACGCAACAAATAACATTTTGAGACTGTTTCGTGAAGCAAAAACTAAATCAACTAAAAAAATAAAAGATGAATTAAATAGGCACTGTATTGCTAACCTATATACATAGAATTATGATATCTTAGTAATTAGCTTATCAACAAGTGTTTTGAATATTTTAGTACAGGTTTAGCAGTAGCGAAAATGGAAATTTCACGCTATCTCCTGACACACTTCGATTTCAAACGAAAACGTTGCGTTTTTGAGCGACTAAGAATAATATATTTTCTTTTAATTATCTACTATCAAATTTCTATCGTTAAACGCGCCGTTTGCCATGAGCCAAAATTTTAAACTACTTTTTACAAGTTCTTACTTACTTAATTATAAAAAAATATTATTACTTACTTGAAAACTACATCGTTCATGTCCGTGAGTGTTACTCCGATACTCTGAAGTACTGTGCCCACGAAGGTCGGCAATTGACTCGCGCCACCAAGAGAGAACGAGACGTGAACCTGGAAGTAACATATTATTAAAAAATAATCAATTATCTGGATTTACATATTAGCGTAAAGTCCTATTAAAACTTAAATAAAAACAATTTACGCGATACTGTCATAAAACAAAACGTTATTAAAGTACGACCTAGATCCTTTAAGCGCTATGTATAAATACATATATGAATATGGCATATAATATTCTTCTATGCCGTTACACTCTTGGTTAAGTAAACACCTCTCTGTTTAAGAAACATGTAGCATACAAGATATATTATATATATATATATTTTAATAAATAAGGCAAGTTAAGATAATAATAAAAAATACTTACTTTTAGAGGTGATAAGTGAAGATTATCGTAGAAGTTCTTAAGATCAGAGGCAACGCCCATCGCGGCTAGTGCTTCTAGGGGCTGGCCTGCCTTCTCTAAGTCGGCTTGGAATGCATCAAGCTACAAAATAGTAATTTTTCATATAAAATATATACATTTTGTCTACGCAAAGGGATTGATAAAAACTATGTATTACATTATAGTTTCTTGTAAAGCAGTTCAATAGGATGTTAGTATGAACATATTATGAACATAATTGTCAAAAATGTATGCAATGCACGTTATATAGTATGAAGCTGTAGGGGCTTAAAATGGTCCATCGAGCCGGATGCTACCAAAGTTTTACTAAAGTTGAAAAATATACTTACGGCTTCCTGTTCAGTCAACGATCTCTGTGGGAACATGCCCATGAGCGCATTAATGAATCCCATATCCACCTTTACATGGAACTCTTGGATTAGCATCTTGTAGTATTTGTATTGACGCACTTTGCTATGTTCCATTATACGTTCTACTATAGATACTTCAATAAATGGTTTTGTACCTGCAGAATATTAACGAAGCTTTAGTATTTTTAAGGATACTAAAGAAGCTACGACCATTAAATACAATAATTCATAAAAGACAAACAAAATACAAAAACTTACCGCTAGGATCTTCGTTGGCGACAGACTTAGGGGGGAGGGACCGGTGCCAACACTACAGGGAAGGTAGGCAACGCTAGTTGCTGGTCTGCTTGAAGACGATATAAGCGTGCGTGTAAACGACGAGAGTGGGCCGTCACACCGTACCGTGCCCATAAACCCGGCTGCATAGTCCGTCGCAAGAGACGCTGAGACGGCTTCAAAACTCGCATCTCTTCGAAGTCAACCTGCAACAAGCGAAATTAATGTAACAACCGTATTTGCACATAAGAAAAAAATGCAAATAATTAACATAAAACTTGTTAATAGCGTTGAAAAAATATATAATATTTACCTCAATAGTTTCATCTATATGCACTCGCGGCGAGACCTCATTGTCACTAACTATTTTGTCATTGATATACTTTTGATATGCTTCTTCATACTGTATAAGCTTCTGACCTTCGATTTTCTTATATCGGCGTGCCCCAACTTTACATTGCTCCCATATTATACCCGAACTGAAACACTCATACGCATGACTAAGCAAACTCTAAATTACTGAATAAAATCTGATGGGAATCTAACTTTGATGTTCATTTTCGAGTTGATTTGTATTTAAAAAAAAAATTAATTGACTCTTTGAAGGTAAATATGTAATTTTATTCTTAGGTATATCTAATACTCACTTGGATATACTGATGTATAGGATTTCCGTGAGGTCATAGTCATTGACCAGCGAGAGACCCAATCCGTGCATGGCCAGTTGAAATTCAGTATGTACGGGTTCAGCTTCGCCGATAGTGTGAGCGCCACTTGCTAGTATCGGATCTTCGGTTAACAAAATCACACGCTGGAGACCGTCCAAGAAAGAAACCCATGTAATACGGTGAGTTTCATTTATCCTGAAATTAGATTAATTGTATGTATGTTTGTATAATAAAGCTTTGATGTGATTGAATGTCATGAAAGCAATTAGATCAAAAAATATAAATTAAAGTTATTCTTCTTAGGCATTCTAAAAGTTTTCTGTCACAAACTATTCTATTAAAAAATAACTAGTAAGAATTTGGTTTAAATAAAGTATCAAATTTAGTTAGCACTAACATGAAGTCACCAATCCCATCCTTTCTTAGATCGTTTTCAATTTCCTTTCTCTTGTGACCCTCGAATATTAATATTCTCGGTCCAGCAGGGTTGTCCCATGTGTATAGCATCCTATGCATTGATGGAATTTTTCTGAAACAGAGGCATCATTAAATGTAATAAGAGATCAAAGGTGATGATTATATATCAAATTACAAGCAATACTTATGTTTCATTTGATATTAGGAATTAAAAGAATTAATTGTTTGTCCATGTTAATATGCTAATTTGAAAGAAGAGGAAAATTTCTGCCCTATACAATTTTCATGCTAGATGCAGGGAAGACAGACGGCGAATATTTTATGACTTTTGACATTGGCTATCCGCAAACGGGTATACCAGGTGTATACAATTACGACTTGTTTCGTCATACCTGACATTAACATTCTCCTTTTCATATGCGGTGACTGCGTGCGAAGTGAAATTCACAAGGAGTGCGGGGGCGTGGCCGTCGCGATATTGGCGTATTGTGACGTAGGTGCCGCCCTCGCTTAGTTGCACTTCTACGTGTAAGCCGCCGTACTAAATAAATAAATAAGTATAGTTATAATTATTAGTTTAAATACTTTTAGTTTAAAATTACAGTAAATAAGGATTTAATCATGCGATTATATTTGGCAAGTTAACATTTAAATAAAACACTTCAACGGTTTTAACTAAGGCCCGGTGAGACTCTCCGTTGTAAACCGTTAGTTTTTATAAGTATTATAATATTATTTATAAAAAATAACTTTATTTATTTATAATTAAAAAAAATAGTGGAACTGTCGTAGTGTGAAAACAAAGTTATCTAGTAATAAAAATCCCTTACGATTTGTAGAAATTGACTTACATGATTGTTTAATTTTAAGCAGACACTATGTTGTTCCGTGTAAAGAAACGGCGAAGCGTGTTCCGTAGATCCAGACACGCGTAGCAGTAAAAGCTTATCTTCTTTTTCCACTATAGGCCAAAGGGGAGCACTCGAATTTTGGTCCACCTAGAAAATCATGTAAATTAAAAAAAAAAAACATTTTTCGAGTAATAGTCTTTAACAGGTCTACTTATATGTAAGCTTTGAGTTCACTGTGTTAATTATGTGAATTTTGGGCAAATTTTGGCTTTCTTAAGCCTCTTAATTAATTCATTTAATTATACGAAGGAAAGAAAACATAATTTATTTGCCATCATAAAAAACTGTATTTAAATCGATTAGTATCTAAAAGTAAAAAGTTTATGAACACTGTCCAATAAATAATAATTATAATAAATACCTCTCTCCAAGGGTCGCCAGAACGGTGCAACTCCTGGTATTGTATTGCAAATGGACACTCGTTGAGAATGAGGAAGAAGGGCGTGAATATCACCATTTTTGTCAAGCTGTTGAACGTCAGCTGATTGGTAACTGCAACCTGAAAAGTATAGAAGAAATAGCTTAGTTGAAATCCTAAAGATAAGCATATATAAAGAACATATTATGCTCATCTTCTTACATACGTATGTTTTGATGTCAGGCACTGGTTTGAATTGAAAAATTATTTGTGTCGGTTGGACCATTTATCAAGAAAATCTATAAAACATCAAGCTGCGACCAATAGGAATTTCAGTGATTTGGTTCAAAGTTATATATAAATGATTCTTCTTTGAATTATCTACTATAATAAAAATGTCCGGAATTGTATGTTTCCTCGGACAAATAAAGATTCAATTACAAGAACCGCTTTTATGGTAATCATATTTCATTGAAATATTTCATACGGCGAATGAATTCGTTGTTTATTATAAATGTACAATAAAAAAAAAAAAAGATATTCAAATGAATGTATAATACAAAAATTAATAATTAAATTAATTTCGATGAGGGAAAAGGGCAATACCTGATACGTCCGGCCTTCATTTTTACAGATAACAACACCGGAACTTCCGGGCACGTCTAGCGAGAACTTGTCGGACCACTCGCCAAACTCCACTCGTATTGCCGCCTTCTTCTTGCCGAAGAAATTTTTCGCGCGGAACGAGAACAATATCGGCTCCTTGTAATCTTTCGGATGGAAGATCACATTGCCTGTCTCGTCGACGTTCTGGAATAAACAATACCGAGTTAATGAGGCTGCAATAACGAGGACAATTCCATTCCACCGTGGCTATAATATAGATTAGACTTCATTTCCGAACTTTACAGTTCCGTAGAGTTAAGTCTATGAGATCTATGTACAAAAGAAATGAATGTGCCCTGTGCCAATCCGTTTGAATCCTAAAAGTTTGTAAAGAAAACATGCAACATGCTTTGTATGATGTACGGATGTGGATTAGATTAAAAGTTATGATGCACAAGCGCAGGCGCAAGTATTGATTAATATTATTTATTTAGTTGTGCTGATACTATTTCTCAAAACAAAATCGACCAATTTTACTTACAACTTTTAATGAATTTAAATAAAAAACTAACGGTTTGAAACGCGGAATATATTAGTTATCTAATTTTATTTTTGGGTGGGGTCAGTATCGTAACCCGTGACCACGGTTGCTGAAAAGTATCCAAAACGTCGGCCCGTAGTTAAAATAGTTTTTAAATAAGTTTAACTAATATATATCGCGTCTTAAACTGTTAAAGTGTCTTATTTCAATGTGTACTACTCACGTACACTACACACAGATTTAATTAAATTTTATAATTTGCACATGATACTACATATATGCTGCATAATCATGTGAATATTTTGGACATTTATGTATTGTACGTTTTGTTTATTCATCATCATGCTACATTGCACTAGAAGTGCATGCATATGCAGATTGATAATTTCAATGACATAGGCGTTGAACAGTACCGGTGAATCGGCAGAGGATCGTAGGTTCCGGCCCCGCCTGTGGCACGTTTTTTTCAATCGCTACCCAAAACTCTGTTACAAAATATGTTTGCACTCACCGGCAAACATGTTGTATGGCGTCTAATAAATTTACTGCAACGACTATGTTCTATCTGTAATACACAATACACATTCAACGCTAATGAAAAACTAATTAACACTTAAATAAAACAGTTTTAGCCGTTAAAACGCAAATTTTGACGTATTTAAAAATAGGTTCTGTAAAAAATACTCGCGTTTCAAACCGTTAAAAGTGTTTTAAATGTGCACTACTCGCGGAAACAACAAATAACACTTTACGTACACACAACATTAAAAAATGTATTTAACTGAACATGCGAAAACATCACATTTACACATGTCGCCATATGTGTATTATGATGACGTAATGGTTGTAAGCATATGACGTAAGCAAGCTGATCGTAAATGATGACGCAATGATCTAAGGGCGGAAGAAATAGGCGCATTATTACTGAAGCTAATATATTCTCATCTCAATGATACCTTGTTGGGGGTGCTGGAATCTTTTTCTGGTTTCTTTGATTTCTGCAATCATGTAATATAGGTAGTAATGGTATCTCGATAAATGTGGATAATACAACCAAGTTAGTATGTCGTCAAGTTTGTAAATCAGGTATGGTAATGGGAAAATGGAAGACTATTAAGTACATATGGAAATTTTTCTTGTATCAAACTCAAACCATACATGTCTGAAGAGGCATTATGAATTGTATTTTCAATAAAATGCCTCGAGTTAATAAAAAGGTTTTTGATTTTTTTTTCCATTACAAATACTACATGATGTAACTCATAAACAATACATTTTTTGACGAAGAAACTTCTGCTGAGGTGCTATGAAAAATATTTCCATTCAGTCTAAAATTAGAAGTGTATATTTAAATAATAGCAATGATTTTCAAACCATCTCTAGCGACGTATACTAAGCTTAAACGCTTACGTTAATAAAAGTTGTTTTCTCTCTGTCTCACTTACGTCATTTTATAATCTAAACGAAAGAGATAAAACATGGACAAATAGCTCTTGCATAACGAAAACCCTTTTATACATATAGACTGAGTGCAATAGTATCAATAGGCTTACCCTATAGCATAGAGTGAATCCAGTTTTATTTAACATCCAGAATGGACAGTACAGCGAAAGCAGCTGTGTTCCTTCCATATCAGCGCTGTGCATACCAAGTTCCAGTACCATTAGTGCTGGACTATCGTGCGACTCGAAGGACCAAACTGACAACTCACTGGACTCCTCCGGCAAGTTTTTTGTGCAAACCCAGCATTTGTCTAGGTAGTTTTGAATCTGTAATGCATTATTAAGGATTTTTAAACCAAATTTTCGAATTTACTTTCTTTTTCTTAATCTAAAGTTTAAGGTAATGAAGTCTTTTCTGTGGTGCGTTCAAGTTCAACGGTACAAGGATGTTGTGTTGTCGAACGTTTCCATTTGATGTAGACTTAAGATTAGGTTAACTAAAGAATATTAGGTTTTTATTTCTTATATTTAAAAATATATAAGTGCAAAACGTACCATAATAACGATAGAAGCTCTATTTGGCGCTAAATGTGAAAGATGGAACATCTCTCCAGGTTTGAAGAGCTGTGTGCGCTTGAGTCCAAGTTGAGAGACAACGATGTCCACTGGTAAGCAGTTTTGTAACTTCACGGCTGGTTTTAGAACTATGTCGTAACAGGATGACGCGAAGGTATGCCGATTAGAATGCTCGAAGAATACTTGTTCCATTGTACCCACGGCCTGTAAATTTAGACCAGAAAATATGAAGCTTAGCTTTGGTCCCTCAAGCCAGATAAGTTATAATTTTAGCTTTAAAATAATATTTGATTGATATTTATTAACAAGAAAACATTTACCCTTAAATAGAACTTTTCTCCGCTATTCTTATCTTTTGAGTCACACTGTAGAAGTTTTGAAATTTTTGGTTCTTGTTGCAGTTCTCGCCAGATAAATGGTGACACGGATACGGTGAAACCTAAAAATGCATAAACTTGGTTAAATTGTTGTTTGAGGTATGTAACGTTTTATTGTCCAAGTATATTAAATTAAGGAACTAACAATAAAATACAGAGCTTCATTCGTGTAACTTATTATTAATTTTGAACTGACCTTCAACAGAGAAGAAGATTTCCGCTGTAGGCGTATGTACGGCTTGTAACGGGAGACGTAAAGTACCACCCGCACCCACTTCACCCAATAATCTGACTTCGTTTCCGCTCAATGTCATATAATAAACGCACACAGGCACCGCCAGCATATTTGTAACCTAAAATTCACATCTTAATTAAGCCTTAAAAACAATTTCTCGTACTATCTATATATAAAATTGCTTCGGATTTACATATAAACATCAAATTAAAGATCGATTATAGAGTGAAAAAAATGTATGACAATAGCAGGAATCGGAATCGATAGCGTTCCGTGCTCTACACGTCATCGTCGCTCCCGATTAGTTTATTTATATTATGGTATTATGTGCATTTTTTTAATAACAAAATTGACAAACAAGACCTTTAAAGAACTAATCCAAGTATCGGCTTAAAGAGCCAGTACGAAATATGTACACTTATTTCACCTGAACTACACTGCGCAGGTATATATGTAAAGCGGCATCTTGCATCACAACATCACTGATAAGTCCACGTGGCTCCATTGCAGCTGCATGAGGCACATTCTTGGCACGACTCTCGCCTGAAGCGCGTCGTCCTAGCGTAAAGTACCGTTTGTCAGCACGTTCAACGGGAATTTGTAGCTCTTCGTCTAGTTCCACAATCTGCACAAATAATAATAAATCTCTTTATTTGGCATTAGTACAAAGCTGGATAAAAATAAATGTAATTACAATAAAATAATGAATATAAAAATATTAAATATAATTTGAAGAAGTGATGCCAAAATGCTCTTGCGACAACGTAAGTCGCAGCACGGTTATATATTATTATAAATCGAAATAATTATTGTCTGCAGGTTACGCCAGTATTACAATTACAAAAACTCTATAAAAGGTTTCAAGCGTAAAATATATGTCGAAGTTATTTTGAATTCATTGTAATAACGACCTAACGTTCAGGATGCTTTGCAGCAGGAAGATGGTCACGAGGGGAGTGGAAAAGGAGTCTCCTTAATTTCAATTTCAAATCTGCTGCCCTAGCGCCATCTGTTTTCTCGTAGTCGTATTTGGAGATATTTCTCTCGAAATACCAATAACGTCTTAGGTTTTATTTTTATCCAAATAATGCTAGGCTACTAATTAGCTTATTCATTGAGCTATACTTTAAATCGTAATAGTACCTTAAAGTTGAGCTTGAGTTGCGGAGGTGGCTCATTCAATTTCATGACGTTAATACCGCCTTGCTTCAGCTGAAGTGGTAAACAAGCGCCTGGCTCCAAAACAACTTCCCTGAAAAGTATTTTAGTATCAGAGCTAATTTAATCAACTAGTCAAACATATTATTATAGTTATGACTGGATTTCAAGTTTTCAAGTCAATTTCGATAAATACTGTCTATAATTTACACGAGTAATATTAAAAGTTAAACAAAATACTTTAACGGTTTTAAAAGCTAAAGATATATTAGTAAAATTTATTTAAGAATTAATTCGGAATTAATTCTACTCGGACCCTGTGACCACGGCTACTGTAAAGCATCCGAAACTTCGGGCCGTAGTTAAAATATTTTTTTATAAGTTTAACTTATATATTTCGCGTTTTAAACCGTTAATATCATTTAATATCATTAAACTAGTCAATTTAGACATATCCGAACATTACAAATTCAGTACCTGTAGTCAGAACTAGTGTACTCTTCAGTGAGGAAGACAGCAAAGTCGTGATTATTGTGAAGAATCAACTTTGTAGTAAGGCCCGTACAGTTATGAAGAACATATGGTGCACCCAAGTACTGCTTTTGTGAAGTCTGTAAGAGAACAAATAACATTTTTTATTAAATAAACACTTTGCAGATAACAATACTAAGCGTGAATGTGTTAGTTTTCTTGTAAATGTTCGCGTATCTTCTGATACGTGCTATCCAATAAAAAACCTTATGTGGAATACGTTCGCTCGTTGGTATCATGGTAGCAAAGTATGCCTAATACAACGGGTCGTGGGTTCGCTCCCCACCGGGTCCATGTCCGTGCAAACATGTTGAACTTCATCAGAAAATCTGGATATCAAATGGGTCGTAGAAATATATAAATTCCGTCCGGTTCACGAACTATTGTCCACAGATGAAAAAGCCGTGAATCTGAATCGCTTTTCAGTTTCAGTCTGTGGATTTCCGAATATCCAAAGCCAAAATAGGTAGACAGTGCATCTTGTTTAGATGCTATAGGCTGGGATATATCACCTACCATCAAGTGAACTGCCTACTTGTCTGTCCCTCTCTACCATTAAAATAATGATGACGGTGATATACTTACATCTTCTAGTTTAGCCTTTGCAACTAACGTAGTATCCGCCGTTGTCTCGGCAATTGCAGTTGAAAACGAATTCGCAAGTTGTGTGAGCACCTACAAAAGGTATATTGATTTTATTCTTAGTATGTATATGTGTTTATATGGGTTACTTAGCTTTATGATAAGCATGGGGGTCATCCATAAAGTACGTCACACGTAAAGGGGATAGGGGGGTCAACAAAGTGTCACATGGTGTGACAAGGGGGGGAGGGGTCCTAAGTTTCGTGACGTCACATTTTAAAATCTAATGTATGTAGAGGTACTAATCGCGTGATTTGAAATATTAATTAAACTAAAGAATATTTCCTGTGAAAATGTGACTGCCATGCCAGACTTCATTTCGGAACTGCTGTTTGCACACGTCACACTAGGGGGGGGGGGGGGGGTCTCAGAAACGTGATGTTTCAGCCGGACAGAAAATAAAAGACAGGGTTTAATTGTAAAGTAATCCCTCAGTGAGAATTTTTTACAAATACATGTTGTAATAGCAATGTTTTTAGTCATGTGTATGAAGCCTTCGTGTGTTATTGTTAAGAATGTTTGCCATTTTCAAAAGTAAAACGCGTTTACCATATTCTTATAAGGACTATATCGTAAACCAAAACGTTACCTCAATACCACTTCTAGTGATAGTTATCTCAAGTGGTTCACTGCTTGATAGCGTAATGGTTTTATTGGCTTGTCTTTGAGCAGCCGCCGCTATATTTGCTGCTTCATCTGTGGTGTCTATCGTCGATTGAGATTCTTCAGGTCGCATCACTACCTAAATATATATATACTATAAATAGGTAACATTGAATATATCACCAATATCACATAATGCACCAACTCAACTAGATTTAAATATAACTTTAAAGAAAGAAGGTTTTACTAGGAATTTATTGTAGTAAATATTTTCATGAACCTGAAATGTGTATATTAGTGTAAAAAGAATATTGATTTTGACAATATTACATTTGAAATAGGTTTTTTTCTTTACATTTAAATACTAAACCGAAGCTATAAGGCTTAAAAACTTTAATATTTTTGTCACATGTACATGATGGCACTATATAAGTTTAAAAAAAATAGGATTCGGCAGGATTTGAATCGGCATCCCTAGCGTTACACTGAGACCTACACGCCATCGTCGATTTTTTCAATCTATTGATACATGCGCCTCTCGCGCAATGTAATTTTAGCCTTAACACTTGCGTGTTACGGTTCAGGTAGCTCAATCGGTTAGAGCAACAGCACGGAACGCTGACGATGCCAGTTCAAGTCCTGCCCGAAGCTTACATTTTTAAATTTATAATCGATTTTTTAAATATAGGGCTTATTTGTTTAACAAAGAAAACTAGCTCGTAAAAATAAATAAATAAAAATAGTTAAGCACTGTTTTTAATGTACCTCCATTTTCAGCTCCCACGGAACGTGTTTGTACTGATAATTCTTAAGCACTTCTACGGGTTCAACGAGTGGCTCCCACATGGCTCGACCGATGTTGTAATATGAAACTTGCATCGCCCACGTGCACTCCATGTAGAACTAGAGAATATGTAAATTGTGTAAGGCTTTCACGGCCATCGTTCAGCATATTTCACAGCATTGTCTTTCGGGCTGTTCGGCCGCGAGAGAGCGAGAAGAGGTTCGCTCACAACAGTGCCGAACAGCCCGAAAGACAATGATATGTAGAGAATATGTAATTTTCAAATTCAATAGTAGATTTTATCTTTTTTTTTTTAATTTTATCTTTAATGTCTCTATACATATATTAACATTATATCTATTATACTTGAATTTTTAAACAGATGGAAGTTAACTAAATATTTTTTTAATGATAAAGGGGGACAGACATGCACAGGGTTTGCTTTATGGTAGGTCAAACACCCCAGATGCGCTTTGGATATTCGGAAGTCCATACGTTGTTACGAAACGCGATTAAACTTGACAGCTTCTCAGCTCTGGACGGTAATTCGTGCCCTGGACGGACTTTCGTTATTCCCACCACCCAGATTTCCAGACAAAGTCAAAGTGTTTCAGAAAGAGTAAAAAACGATAAGAAATATGATGGCCCCGGTGGGGGTCGAACCCACGACACGTAGATTATTAGCCATACATTGCTACCATTAAAACAGCGAGTCCGTCAAATACGTCGTTACTACGGAAGTGTACTGTTAAAACTGAATGCATTATTTCTCGTTACATTACAATCTATCGAAGTCAAACATACCATTCGATTGAAATTACGTGGAAACAGATGGTATATATATTGTGACATTACTTTGAACATATAACTCATACTCACATCAGAGCTCCAATCTTTAACTTGTCCGGTAAGAGAAGACTGCATCACCAACACCGGTATGGTCTCATTACCGATCTCCATTTCCAAAGCCAAAACTATAGATGGACTGGATAGTAGGCATATCTCCCCAACTGGCGCCTTAACTAGAGAAACTGCCGATTCCTCTTCTAAGCTTATTGCTTCTACTGCCTCTTCTGTTCAACAAATAAGTACAATTTTTAAATTTTTTTAACGTATATCTGGAGGCGAAGAAAAAATTTTGTAGTATTATAATAAAAAATAACTATTATTATTTATATGTATGTTAAAAAGCCTTATTAAAAATTCTTAAATGTATCTCATCTCAATAGATGAGATACATTTACGAGTTACGTATATCCAAACATTTGTGTTAACAAAAACTTAAATAATTAATACCGTGACATTTTCTACATCTTACGGGGCCTTTGATGTCGTTTTATGATATTATGTAAGAAAATACGGTTTTATTATACCTTTTGGTGGCAGTTTATCCAGAGTTTTTATTTATTACATTTTGATCATCCAAAACCAAAATAAGTTAGGTTGCCTGGGATATTTCACCTAGCTCCAAATGAATCATAAAAAATATGAAAGATTTTGACTTTATACATCAACTATTCGATCGGATATCTAGAAAATATTTACCAGTTTTCAGGAACCAATAAGTGGAGGGCTTGAAGGGTTGTATATCCCAAAGTTTGTCATAGAAGATCGCCTTGGTGTCCTGTTCGACGTTGTCTTCTTCGCTGCTCGTCATCGTAGCGAGGACACGGTTCAGGAGCGCAATCATTTCTAAAAATAATTTTCCATTTAATAACTAGTTGTTAATTGTGAAGATTATAAGGGTTACATTGTATGTCGGTTAGATATGGTTATTTCGCAAATCATTGTATAGTATCTACTGTCTGTAGTTAAAAATAATTTTTAAACAAGTTTAACTAAAATATATCGCTCTTTGAACCGTTTAAGTGTTCGCGAACACGTTGAAGTGTATACAGAGATGATGATATAATCTCTCACAAAAAAAACATAGGCTATGAAGCCTCCCCATGACCATGGCTGCTGTAAAGTATCCGAAACGTCGGGCCGAAGTTAAAAATAATTTTCAAATAAGTTTAACTATCGCTCCGTTAAAGTGTTTTAATTAAATGTGTACTACTCGCGTAAACTAAAGACAGTATTTAAAGCTTTATTGTTTTCACACGTTATTGCACAAGACAGCATTAAACTTACTAGTTCTTATCCTCAATTTTTTTCGTAGCATTGATAGTGCAATGCAATTTCGACTTAAACACCTACTTATTGAGGTTGAATTACCTATGCCTTACAGCTTAATATAATCATTGAAGAGGAGTTAAGTTTAATGTTTAAAAACTTAAAGTTAAACTTCTCGTATGGACCGCCACTGTAGCCAAGTGGTTAAACGTACTACCTAGTATTGCGTTAAGCGCGAGAGGTCTTGGGTTCAAAAGAAGTCTAATCAACTACATGCCCGTTAAAATTACGTTACGTTAAGATCGGTGAAACGGGCACACAAATGTATTCGCCCCATGCCCCAAGAGAGGGAAACGTTAACGTTTTACTTTTTTCTCGTATGGTCCCTACAACGAAAAATATTAACAGAGCTTACCCGGTGAGACGGTTATCTTTATGTCAGTGAGTGCTACGTCCACATGCATGCCACTTGACGGAGGCTGCGACAGTGCGAGAGAAAGATGCGCGGGCGCAAGTAGGTATCTCGGCGCGGCACTCGATCGGCCTAGCGTGCGAACCACCATTTGTAGCCCCGATATACCGCCGTCGGCAACCATATGTTCATCCGTCTTGCGTAACTTGAATTTTGCTTCCATCTGTAATAAAAAATCATTTTAGTTTATCCCCCATTACATCGTTCAGATGAAATATAACTAGCATGGAGGTTCATTTGTCGGTAGGTACAATAGCTTTATTACATCTAAACAAGATGCTGTGTCGACCCGTTGTGGCAGTTCACCGCTTAGATGAAATATATCGTCAAGAGCAAGATAAATCCTGGCTTTGAGGTCTGGGGAAAGCTATTTTCTTGTTAACATTAAAAAACTCACATTCAAAACCAGAGCGTCGCATTTCTTCTGCTCCAAAGACTCGACGAGTATGATATCAGGCTGCTCTATCTTGATGTTGACGGTCATCATGGCGGGACGCGCGCTCTGTTCCGTCAGTGATGGTCCGGACGCGACTGATATTTTCTTTTTCTAAACCAAAATAATGTTTAATTGGGACTTTTATTATAGGCACGTCGGCTGTGAATACTACAGATAATTAGCGTCTGTACCTGTCTAATATAAAAACACACTTTTAACGGTTTAAAACCCGAAAAATATTACTTAACATTTTTAGTCGTCTGGTTGTAGATATAAATAAATTGACATATTTCGCGTTTTAAACCGTTGTTTTATTTAAATGTGTACTGATGTGTGTATGACGTGTCTAAGTCGTTTTATTTCACAAAAATTAATACAAATGTAATGAAATGTGTTCTTAAATAACCTTAAAATGGTAAACGAATAAAATATGATGATGCCAAGTAATTTATTCGTTATTGGAGATCGAAGTGTTCAGTCGTATTACATCAATAACGTTAAAATATTATAGAAGAACTAAATTCGTTATTCTCACTTACAATATTAGTCTCAGCTAATTTATCCGTCGTGGACTTGATGATTTTAATTTCTTCCTTCGGCTTCACAACAGGTGCATCTTCAGCCAGACCGCTTGTCATAAACTCGGCGATTTTGTTTAAGAAATCCATCGCCAAGATCAAGTTGAAACTGAATATTCTCATGTCGACTGTAATTATGAGAAAATATTATGTTATCGTTTTGTAAGACAAAATCAAATATTTCTACGAACAGACATTTTGGTAATTGGGAAAGGACAACCTTCGGTGTTCACATGACATTGAAAATTTAACACCGAAACGTACTTTTATAAAGTTGAATTATAAATATTGTATTCTCAAGTGTACAAAGAGTTTATAACTGAAAATAATGTACAGTGTATTTTTTCTTACTTGGCATTTTTGGTAAGCAAACACAAAATTTTACATGAAATCGTGATTTTTCTCATAAGGTTTTTATTGTTTCTTACTAGAAACACTTTGATACACTGGATTATATATTAAACTGATGAACTGCCTAACATTCACCTAGTAAAAACAAGCTTAAATTAATGAAAATCTTAAAGATAGTAATGTTGACACTCACTAAATGTATCAGAGTTCTTCAACGTATAGGTAATGTCGATCATGCTGCGAATCTTATCATGCGCTTCCATTATGTTGTCCTGAGTTTCATCAGTTTGGTCCAGCTTTATATCGGGTCTATCGCGACGTCTTTCCAAGTATCTAATGAACAATAAGTTAGTTAAATTTCAAGCGTTGCGAATACAAAAGTGAACACTGTCTATAGTTTACGCGAGTAGTACACATTTAAATAAAACTCTTCAACGGTTTAAAACACGATATATTAGTTAAACCTATTAAAAAAATATTTTTAACTTCGGTCCGACGTTTCGGATGCTTTGCAGCAGCACGCGTTTCAAACCGTTAAAGTGTTTTATTTAAATACAAAAATGTTCATGTTTCCCTTTGTAGACAACCAATGAAAATGAATATGCTTTTAATTAAAGAAAAATAGGTAAGACTGATGACTATACTGACTGATGATATCTCTTTCTAGCCAACCCAAAACATATACAAATGACAAAAAGTGGAAACAAAATAAAATGTAATCTATTCGCTACCATCATTATGCCATCTTTAGCCACTGAAGTTGACGATTTGATTGATAGAAACACAACTCTTAAACTATTGACGCCAGAATACGTGTCATCAGATGGACCGGTATTATATTAATATCCATCGAAACTGACCTGGTAATCTTAGCACCTCTGCCAGGCCTGGTGTCATCTAACGTGCAATCAACGAGCAGCACTGATGTATGTAAAGAACCATCTGAGAACATTCGCCCCTTTACAGACAGTAGGGCGAGGCAGAAACGGGCTAATTCCACGTCTTTTGTGAACAGGGAGTCTTCAGACTGAAAATTAAGAAAACAATCCTTGAAATAAAACAATTTTAACTGTAAAACGTGAAATATATTATTAGTTAACTAATTTTAAACTTAAAGTAATAAATTTAAAATAATAAATGTATTTCGCAATTTGAACCGTTTTATTTTAATGATACATATATATATATATAATATATATTTAAAGTATAGAATTCTTAAATATCAATTCCAATACATACATACCAATCAACTAACTTAACAAGCCACTGTGGACACTGCCAATTATTTTAGTCATTTCTTAAACAATATTAACTTATCATAAGCTTTCCTTACAACTACACATATATGTACTTAACATGAACATTTTGTTAAAAATAATAAAACCTAAAAAGACTTACCAACACAGTATTCATGAGATCAATGACAAAGCTGTCCATAGTAAATGAGAATTTGATAGTGGTCCTTGGTTCTTTCGTTTCCCTCGGTGTCACCACAGCTACCGTAGACTTCGTAGTAACTTTGCTGGTCTGGCTCTTGACCGTCGGTTTCGAGGTGACCTTTGATAGGTTCTGTTGCGGCTTCACTTCCTCTGCTTTGTTTTGGCCTTCTTGTAGATTTTGATTCAGAATCTTCATTATACTTTTGTAATCACTATGCCCGACGGTAATCTGGAAATAAGACGTGTGATGTTTGAGTTTTGTTGGTACTTTACGCCCACACAAATTACACATTTAACTACGGCCCGACGTTTCGACGTTCTCGGTATGACGTTTTATGGTACTAAAACACTAGAACATAATATTTAGTCTCCTTGTAGTTAATTTTATATTCAATTATGTTAACTAATATATTTTGCGATTTAAACCGTTTAAAGTGTTTTATTTAAAAAATCTAGTCTGATCTATAGTATATAAATCTATCGATATGCATATATAGAAACAGGACCTAGGTGTCCTGGGCGACAGAAATAACCTTAACTAATGTATTAACGAAATGTGTTATGAATATTAAATAAAACATATATTTGTAAAAAGTAAAGTTAACGGGGGGCTAATTTCAACGAAGTAAAATGAGAAAAAAGCCGTAAGTCTAGTTTTATAAAGTTACATTCTTGTAAAAACTGTCGAGTCATACATGGATATATACCATAAAGAATTAAAAAAAAATATTATTATGTATTTAGTATTGAAATCCTGTTTCCCCCTGTAGGGCATGAATCGATCACGTTTTTGGGTACGTTGAAATGATTTTTATATCTAGTGGCCGACTGAAACAATTTATCACTGATATTTAATATTGATAGATCATAAGATAACAGCGGAACAGTGAACCAAATACTTACAGCAATGGTCTTCATCCGTCCAGACACATCAAGGTCCGGCAGTGGTTCGTACCAGCTCGAAAGGCTGCGTTTAACGAGAAGCTTGAAGCTGGTTGGCCGCAAAAGCTTTCTCTCATGAGACACTTCGGTACTGTCTTCGATGAGTTGAACACAGGAGACCTTTAATTCTTCTAACTCCAGAGTTAGTTCGTCTACTGTTACCTTATTACTGACGTCCTGAAAGAGTGGGATTATAAATTGTATTTTAGGTTTAAACTTTGTTTGAATATCCAAAGCTGAAATAGGTCGACCGCCCATCAAAATGAGATGGCTGAGGTATTTCCACTTTCAACGTGCTTGTCTATGCTCTATCATAAATAAATCTGGATATATCTCGCTTAAAAAAGTTTACAGTATACTTACAGCTTTAATTAGAATTGATAGAAAGATTTATGTTATACATTTAAACCAGTGAATAAAGACTATATTATACTTACAGCTACCGGTAAGTCCACGAACTTATTATTGATCGTCATTCGTCCGAAGTCCAACAGCATCGCATTCATGCTGCTAGAATTCTCGGGAACCAGAATAATGGGTGCAGCAAGGCGGAGTTTGAGGGCTAACTTGGTTGAATTCTGATATGCATTGTGTACGTTAGCACGAGCTGCCTCTGCTGCTTGCGAAGAAGCCTCGATAATCGCTTCTTGCGCCGCTTGGAAATTATTCAGGAACTCCTATATACCGTGAATTAAAAATTCAGCCAAGAATTTGTTAAATTGAAAAGTGATTTAAGATGGCATAAATTTACGATACGAGCAGGACTCGAACTGCCATCCGTAGCGTTCCGATGCTCTCCGTGTCGGATATTATTTTTAATTTAAAATAGATTTTTAATGTATATAGTGCCATCATGTGCAAAATATTATTGATATAGTCAGATAAGGATCAAACGTCATCTTTATTACACATTCGAGGCAAACAAATTTAATATATAACAGTATTATATCATCAGGATTCTATTATTATTTGTAGAATTTTTTAAAACCGTAGATTTCACGTGTCATAAACAAACTTACCAACATTGAAGTGAGGAACCAATTCAGAAAGACAATCCTCAAGCAGTTTATCTGAGCGTCTATCGACATGTTGACATCACTAGTATTAGGATACTGTTCCACATTGTACATCACTATTTGCACGTTCATCACGTCACCACCGAGAACTTTTAATATCTAAAAAAAAATATATGTAGAAATATTTTTTTTATAAATTTTGACATATTATATTCTTTTAAGTATTTTCTCTACACGATTGTCAGCCGTGGTCACGGGGAGACTGATCACTACGAGGTGTCCACCGTGACCATGGCTGCTGCAAAGGATTCTACACATCGGGATCTAGGTAAAATGAATACTGAATATATGAAACTTAAATATTGTTAACTCGTATTTTAAACCGTTAAAACTTTTTTATTTACGTGTATTGTTTTTGAAATATGGTTCAAAATAAGTTTACCTCTTTGTGTACCGTTGCTGGATTCAAATCCTCAACTTTTATAGACGCAATAGAGCAATCTATTTGCGTGTACGAGGCTTTAAGCACTAAGCCCGCAGTAGCACCTTGTAATTTGAGCAGCGAGAGCGGCCGAACATCTGTCGCGAATTTGATCTCTACTGACCCAATCTTAACGTTCACTTTCAATTGTATACTCTCCACTTGCTTACGACGCGGCGCTTTTGTTACACTGACTGAAAATAAATAAGCAAGTCAATTAAATACTATCTGTAGTTTATGCGAGAAAAGATTTAAGTAAAACACTTTAACGGTTTAAAACGCGACCGAGTCTCCCCGTGACCACGGCCGCTGCAAAGCACCTGAAACGTCGGGCATAGTTAAAGTAATTCTCAAATAAATTTAAGATATATATATATATCTCGTTTTAAAGCCCTAAAGTGTTTTATTTAAAAGCAAGTTAATTATTAGGGACGTAGTTAATACTAAATCGATTTCAGTTGCGTTTTAAACCGTTAAAGTTTCCTGATTAATATATATTTTCTGTGGTGTGTTTTTAAATAATAAAGCTATAATAAATAAATAAAAGTGTTTTATTTAAATATTTATAGTAGACTTTTAAGGTTGAACTGTAGAAACAAAAAAAATCCCCTCACCTTTTGACTTGACCATAGACAATAGTTCTTCGTCTTCCATAATGGTTTCTAGAGGACCCGCATTGGCGTATCGATCCACTGTGCTTTGAATGGCATTTAATCGAGTCTAAAAAAAAATTATAAGTATAAATATACCTAAGGCTAGATAGATTACTATTGATTATTCTATATTGTCCAACATAGATTAATTTTATTTAGAAAAAAAAACAAATACCTGATAATTATTAACAATAACGAGAATTTCTTGCAACCCTTCCAAATGCAGCAAGAGCTCGAGCGTAGTGAAATCCAGCTCAATCATTTGTTCAACAGAGCCGTAGTGACTTCTGAATTCTGGACATTTCTTGTCAACCTTTAAAATTTATCAAACATCATATCATATCATATATCAAAAAAAGCTCAAAGTATTTAAAAAAAAAGTATCATCTGTACCGCAATACACCATCTAATAATTGTGTTTAACAAAAAAATACACAATTTTTTTTTTTTTTTTTTGATATCATCTGTAGACCTGTGGACCATCATGGGTGTTGCGTGACACGGACGGAATTTCAATATTCCTACTACCCATTTTATATCCACATTTCCAGCCGTAGTCCAACAGCATATTTCAGAAACCCACGACCCGTTGGTTATTACCCGTACATTGTATACATACCATTACACCAACGAGCCCGTCAAAATAACAACTATGTTAGTAGAAATTGGTTCTTAATACAATCTAGTTAAAGTTAAAATTTCCTTACATTACTATAAGTAACCGCAAACAAGTACTGATCCTCCAGGCTATTCTGATCCTCTGGTTCTGCAGGCGTCTGTATCATGGCTATAGTTTCGTATCCAGCACGATGGTGCTGCATGTCTACAGAGCCTAGGCGGACGGCCGCTTCCAGAGTAAATGTCTTCTGTGTGGCTTTAATTTCCAGTAGGTTTAATGAGAACACTAGAAATCTATCGTAGCCACTTGATGGATCCCTTGTTTTGCGATTGACGCTGAGGACTAGTTCTAAAAGGAAAGACAAGGTAAGTTGCTAAGATGTACACGCTCTAAAAGACATGAAAATATAGAGGCTTTCCTTAGAATACTGCAAAATCATTGGGAGCCGAAATATTGGGCTTGAAAGGCATTTTGACTAGTTTTACTAAACAAGTCAATACTAAAATAATGTTTGAAAACCCTTTTTATGTAATCAAACCGAATTTGAATACTCGAAAGAACAAAACTGGAAAAAGGACTGTATATTTTTTATGATAGAGAACGGACAATAATGAGATGGGATCTTAAAGGTAGGTAGGTATACCCCGGCCTTTAGCATCTAAACAAGATGCGCAATCGACCTATTTTGGTGACTGAAACCATAATGTGGTTTAACTTCAAGGGTCTTTCACCTGTGGACGGTGGTTCGTGACCCGGAATTTAGATGTTCTTATCACCCACTTAATATCCAGATTTTCAGACGATGCACATGTTTCAGACAAATTATATATTTATTAGAAAAAAAATTGGACCCAGTGGAGATCGAACCCACGGCGTTGATTATTAGCCGTAAATAGCCATTACAACATTTTTTTAAATTCAATTTGTATATTATATACCTTTCATGATAAAGAACGCCTCTAGTTCCGTAAGTTGCACAGTGTGTTCGTCGCTTTTCCTTTGTTTAGACCTAGCGGTATCCCTTTTTTGTTTTTCAGCTGGATCCAAATATTTCAATAGAGAGAGACTTGATGCTTTAGAATCGCTTGCCTAAAAATAATTTTAATATTATAGAATATAGAACTTCATTTAAATCTAAAGTCAATAGACTATACACGACTTTAAATAAGGTAGCTAGAGATACTACTAATATGTTAACGACATTCTTTTTTTCTTCAGTACGAACAAGTATACGGAAGAGATATATATAAATATTTAATATCTCTGTCTCTTTCCTTTTAAACTTTAACACAATATCTATGTTATATTACAATTTTACATGAATTATTTGTACATTCATTATATTACTAAACTAAATCTTACAATGTAGACTACTCGTGATATTTTTCTATAAAATTGATGAAACTAGTCAATGTTCTTAATTTATAGACGAAATTTCATATACATCATTTACCACACTCCCACTTCCTTGTAACACAATCTGAGACTCAATAACCCGACCCGTCATAGTGTACGCAAACTTGTAGCAAAATATCTTTAATTGGAAAGGCAAAGGTTAGGATTAAACAAACAAAAATGTGTACATAGTTTTCAACGTACCTTAAGTTGAGTTGTTTCATCGGATCGCGGTAGTGGCATACCAACTAAGATTTCGCACAATGTCAGCAACCTAAGATAGTAAAAATATCTTTGAGTGATTATTATGTATTTTGGACGTTTGGGCAAGCACGCTGACATTCGTTGTAGTTGTCGGTAAAGTAAGGGTGCACCGAATTGGGCAACGGCGTCGGTCTGGACCACCGCAGTTTGTCACGAGACATTCACGAGAGTGAGCGGTACGCGGAACACATGATCGCTTTTAAATACCATTTTCCCTTATGCGTATGGGACAAATACATTTTTGTGTTCGTGTCGCTGATCGATTATATTTACAGTTGATCAGACGTCTGCACTTTCCCGGACCGAAAGAATGTATGCGATATTCTGGGATCTTCCATGCTGAACGAAGCCTTATTATAGTAATAGTCGTAATAAGAAGCCGCGAAAACCATATACAATTGTAGATTGAAATTAAAGGACTACTCTTCCATATCTAAGAGTGGACGCTAAAGTTGTCTTATATTAATATAATCTAAGAGACGATAAATGGAATTATTAACAGAAAACATATCACTAATTTAATGTATTTTAATAAAAATTAACGAAAGTACTAAGGTTACGAGTAACTTTGTGTTTTTGCACGGACCGGGTAACTCGGTTGGGGGAATATCTAAGAATAAAATCTCGTAAATCACGGATACAAAGAAAATTAAATAAAAATCACCTGTCTTCTGAAACGCTAACGGCAATCTTTTGTAATTCACCCCTTATTTTAATTTTAGGCATTCTCGGGTCATCGATTATAAGACATTTATGTATCTGTATCAACAAGTTGGTTGGTTGCAACAGATGTAAAGGCGTCGCCTCATTTGCCACAATCGCCGACTGCCAATCTTCGCCTGGAGATGCGATAACTATCTGAAAATATACGATGAAATAATGCGTATAATAAATAATAATGTGATGTTTTATTACATTATTTTAGCATAATTATTGTAGCATTAAGCACACGTTATCTTCCTTTGAAGTATTTACTATATTCACAATATAATAACGTATACCTTCTTATATAGCAACTGTACGGTTAGATTAAAAAACTTCTTTTAAAGTTTAAATAAAATTATACACCACGCACGCATCCATTGAATTTACTGTACCTGCATCTCGGTAAGCCTAAGCGCCATCTTATCATAGCTGTGAGTCGTGATCTGCGCTAAAATATCATCGTCGGCCAAGCCCTGACGATACAGCTGATGGACGTCCAATTGCGGTGCCCTTGGTTCGCTCTTAACGCTGATCGCACCCAACTTCACTACGACACACGCTTCTCCTCTAAAATGGAAATGGTAAAATAGAGAGATTAACAAACAGAAACAATACAAAGACTTTAAACCTAATAAAAGTTAAACCTACAAAATTTACTACTGTTTTCATATTAATTAGACAAATGGTTGTGTCGCAAGCACTATTTAATATTTGTGGATTATTTCATTTATTTATTTATCAAACAATCTCTGTATTACAATAAATATGTATGCCCAAAACAATACCCAAATATATTTGGATCTTATTGGACGAACTCGTTGTAATGGTAGCAACGGTATGGCTAATAATCAACAGATCGTGATTTCGATCCCCGCCGGGACCACCATTTTTCTAATCGATTAAACTTTTTCTGAGACATGTTGAACTTCGTCTTGGAATCTGGATATTAAATGGGTGGTAAGAATACTATGTACATTATTTACATCATATTTCAACCCACCCTTTATACATCCCCGTCTGCGGAACAATGATGTAGGAGGAGGCGACATCTATATCCAATTCGATGAATGTGTGTTGATGCACCGCATACTGCATGCCCAGAGCTGATTTCTCTTTCAAATCTGACAACTTGTTTTCGGCAGCTGCTTGCAAACTGTCAAAGTATATTTATTTATTATCCTCCAAGACGAAGAAGAATACCAACAAATTATCCTTATAATTTGAATATTCCCTTTCTTCAATCAGATATATATTGTTTTTAATAAAACACTTAACGGTGTAAAACACGATATGTATTAGTTAAATACAATAAAAACATTTCACGTTTTAGACCGTTAAAAGTGTTTTATTTAAATGTGTACTACTGGTGTAAAGTACAGATTATACTGAATGTCATTTTTTGCTTACGTTGTTAAGGCTGTAGATTCCGAAGGTGGCTTGAAGACATTGACGATTTCAATTACTGTTTGTGCATCGTATACCATTTGCAACGGGCGCGCGCGCACCTGTACACGCTGGTCGCAAGTACCATCTTTAAAAGAAAATATCGTGTTTTGCATTTATCTTTTAAATTTGAGTCTCTCGAGTAGATTTTTAGATGGTATATTTATACACCTTCCCCATTTCCATTTTCGTTTTAATTACCAAGTCATTTAGTAAATATGCATTAAAATTTCCAATGATGTAACAAAGACGTAAATAAAGATGTAATACAACATGTACTGCATCTCAATACCACATTTATGAAATAAAATGTTACTAGTAATTAAAAAAAGATAAACTACGTTATCTTTATTTGCATTAAAATAATCTTACCCAATGGATTAGTCTCAAATAAAACATTAAGAAGGTATACGTCCTTCGCGAACTCTTTCGAAGTAACAAGTTGAGGCAGGAATTCGCCTTGACGCACACCCGTCACCGTAAACGCGTCCATTCGGACGTCCACTCTAAAATAATAACAAGTTTCGTTTCATTAAAAAAGGCTTTAAATTCTCATATTATACGGAACATGATTAAAAATTATATAACAATACCAACTAATTAATCCTAATAGTGAAGTATCTGACAATGTTTAAGGTAAAATCTATACTAATATTATAAGCTGAAGGGTTTGGTTAGTTCCTTTAAAAGTGCTAATCTCAGGAATTGAAAAAACCCAGAAGTAAAGTTGGTTGAATCATTTATCGAGGAAGGCTTTAGGAGGCGACCAATAGGAGCGAAGACACTGCGGGAAATGTGAAAAAAAATAACTGGAAAAAGTGGCTGCGAAAATGATTAAAGATACTTCAAAAATATATACAAAAGAATTATATTTTATTAATCTTACTAAACCTTCTAAGAACCTCACAAGAACCCTTTGTATTGTAATAAAATTTTGTCAAACTATATATACACATAGGGCAATATAATATTTGCCAGGTCAGCTAGTTACATAATATACCCCTTATCATATTTTATTACAAGTGTACAAATTTCATAATATTAACATAGATTGTTTAAGGATTTTTTGTGACATCAAAAAGAACAAATTAGCACATTTACACTTAACATACGATCAAGCACGCTATTCACACGGTCAGATAAATATATCTAAAATATATACATCCTAAAACTCACCGTAACGCGTTAGCACTAGGCCGTTGCATCATATCTAATTCCACATTCTCTACACAGCCCCTAAGGACCTCTGATACATCATTCACAGCTACTTGCAGCTTATCCAGCTTAAAATGTCCTTCGACAGCTACATACTCCACAGGCAGGTGGAGTGGTGCGGTGTTCTCTTGGTAATCGATGGCTCGGAACAACTTCTCCTTTTCCTCGGGTGTCATTGCTTTCTCGAATTGTTTCACTGTAATTTGTTTTTCAAAGTAGAGTTAATAATAACACAAAACTTTTCATTGCTAGAGAAAGTTTCGGACGCTTAAACTATCTATTGTTCTACATATATTTTATTAATCTATCTTACCGAATGGTGAAGAGCCAAAATACACATTTAAAATTCTTACTGATAGCGACTCCTTGGGAAATTTCATCGTCCTTAGAACTGCCTCCGCCCCACCACCCACTGAACCATCCGCGAGATTTCTTCGCTTCTGCTTCAAGCTTACCCAGCCTTTCAACCTTGAAAGAAACATAATGATAGGGATTGTAGGAAATTATATGCCTTTTGTCTTTTGCTATCTAAACAACAAAAAAAGGAAATAAGGTGTATTTTGATATATTTAATATACTCGTGTTGAGGTTTATCGGTATTAAGTTATTGTTTCTGGAATTAACAGAGCATTTCTATACTATTCTACAGTATGATAAACAACTATATAACTAGTGTACACATATTCATACCTCTAACTCAATTTGCTGTCTAATAACCACCAAATTGAACAAATCCAAGGACTTCTCAGCTTTATCCAGGATACACTGGTGTTCAGCAGACACTTTGCCGTTACAAGTTAACTTATTCTGATAAGCATTTGCGTAATCCTTGCATAGTTTCCTATGGGACAGCATATGTGTCCAGTCCCAATTTCTGCGACGTCGCAGTACTTCCTCTTCTAAAATACATTTGAAGGCAAAATGCCACCACTCCTTATAGTGGCCCTTGTATATATTTAAATCTGGTCGATACTTTCTGGAACAGAGGGGGAATAATAAAAATACCGTATAAAATAATGTTTAAGTTATAAATTTAAATAAAACACTTTAACTGTTTAAAACACAATATATATTAATTAAACTTATTTGAAAATTATTAACATAGGCCCGACGTTGCGGATGCTTTGCATCAGCCGTGGGTCACGGGGAGACTGTAATTTTCAAATAAGTTAAACTAATATATTACGCGTTTTAAGCCGTTAGTGTTTTATTCTATGTGTACTACTAGCGTAAACTACACACAGTATTTAAGTAATTAATTCTTAGAGTAGGGCATTGTAGTAAATATATTTGATTGTGTATATTAAGATTAGATATTTCTAACTAGGCAGTAAACAATTAAATGTTGTCTTTGGCTAGTTTTTAGGCAATCAATTAATGTTAAGTAGCGTTGCCCTGTGGGACATGGAACAAGCACATTTCTGTGTCCATTTCTATGTCGTACCTGATCAAACATTTTTTTTTGCTATTCTACATAAATTATGAACATATTACAATTACCTGTATGGTGCACCCTTACTCATTCTGTCCATAGAGTCCGCTAGTAACATCATATCCTGGTATTGTGCTTTGTTCAAGTTCACAGCCAGCTGTTCCATGTGCAAGCTTAAAATCACTTTAGGTATACTAAATTTGGGTGTATCACCTTCTGGTTTGGGGTTTAATTTCAATTTCGCTGTAGCGTTGATTGGTGCAAGGGCTGAAAGTTAAATTAATGATTCAATAAACAATGAAATAGAGACAGCAAGAAGGACAAGAAGTAAAAAAGAAGAAAGTACGTAGAACAGAATCTTCGGCTGGATTGATATTGATAGATCTGATGATACATTGTTCGACTAATAATCAACTGCCTGGAAGTTTGGTTCCCACCAAAGGACATCGGGTTTTTGGAACATGTAATATTTTATCAGAAAAATCTGAATATCAGATGCGTGGTAGGAATATCGAAGTTCCGTCAAGGGCCAACAAACCACTAGTTATTAGTTACATACAAAATTTTAGTAAAAATTTAATAAGCATTACCATATTTATAATCCTGGGGTTTAGATGTTTTCGTTGCAATTTCTTTCTGTAGTCTAGTTTTGATTTCCTGTAGGCTGCTCCTTGAATACAACTCAGTAGTTGGATTCCAATAGATTGCTAATCCTTCCAGATTCAATATCTGTTAAAATTCACAGACATTAGGGAAAGATAATGCCCATAATCAAATGTGTTGTTATGTTAAATGTAGTCTTAAACGGGTTTTATAGAAAGATTTTAAAATAATAATAACAAATTTACACTTTCGTCAATATATATTTTTGTAATACTGCCTCATTCAATATAATATCAAGATTATATACATACACCTTAATGTATACCTTAAATATTTTTGTAACTGCTTCTTGAATCACTGTCTGCTTCCAATTTTCATCAGTGGTGTGTACGGACAGATTATGCAGAGTGATCCCAAAAGAAAATGGTGATTTAGGATTGGTAATGCTGTCCTCATAGCGAATGTGGATATCCGATATTTTGAGCTGAACATTCTTTATGATTTGTGTGACAAGTTTCTCAACAAAGGTCTCGTCAAGTTTATTAGCATCTGAAAAAAACAGAGTGCTTTATGTTTGCACACTTTATCACTGATAATGCTTATCAATAGCTGCAAAGTTTATTAAAATTATGGGCATATTTATGTATTAACAGTTATAGTTAACAGCATATTCATTTAATACATTTTTTTAATAAAAAATTTAAAAGATACATTTTAAATTAAAATCGAGTTTAAAGTACTTACCTTTTTCAGCTTCCTTCTTTTTGGCCTCTTCAACTCTTGCAAGCTCAGCCTGTTTGGCTGCCAGAGCCATCTTTTCTTCTTTTTCGGGATCATATTTAATTTCTGCATTTGGATTTACTATCAGAAATAATCTTTCAACTGTTGCTTCCACTGATGCACCATACAGATTTTTCCATGGAATTTTTAGCACCAATTTTCCTACGGATAAAAAAGTATTAAATTTTCTTAAGTATGTAGGGTACTACTATTTCTTTAACTGTAAAAACTTGAAATAACAGCTATTTCATATAAGAATCGAAAATAAATTGAAAAAAAAAATTCAACTCGGGTCAGGATTTGAACTGCCATCGTCAGTGTTCCGTGCTATTGCTTTACCAATTGAGACAATACCGAGGCAACACACTCATAACAGCTATTGATTGCAAAAAAAATTATGTATGTTTGTATATGTATATTTCTGAATATGTCAAAAACAGTTTTACAGTTTAAAAGTGTATTTCATTAGCATTTTATCATATGAAACAGAATCCTCTACTGTACATAAATTAGCACTTAGTGCATTTGTTGTTGTGCTAAATAGATTTTATATATATAAACAAACACAAAGCCTTCATAGATGCAGCATCCATTATAATGTTGTTAATTTATAATGTGTTTCTAAAGATAATAAAAAACAGGTTATCTGACATCTATGTCAATTATAATCAAATATAATCATGGGTCAATAAGTGTTGACCTTCAAATTAACTTATGTGACTCATAAATATAAACCAATTTTTATTTCAATAGCATGATGTCATTGTCTAAGTGATATTACTCCATGCTGTTGGCCTTAGAGCCTAGCCTACATTGCATGCTAATTGTGATAACCTGATTATTGTAACATTCAGAGAGTGTAACTGATTTTTTATTTTAGGTTTCTGGGTACAGACAACAATTTTATGGGTATTTTATAATTATAACAAGGTTTTAGTTAAATTAAAAATTAAAGGTAAGTAATACAGACAAAATAATCACAAAATCTTTAAAAATATGTGTAATAAAGGAAAACAAATGTAATCTCCGGTCTGTATACAAAATATATTATATAAAAATATACTATATAAAATGTTATTCATAATAATTTAACAAACAGTATAGCAACTATACACAGTAAAAAAAATATAATAATATCCATCATAGAAACATGTGTTGAACTTTCTATCTAAATACGTAAAAACAAAGTCAACAAACCTAAGTGTCCATAAACAGTCTGAACAGGGATATTTAACTCCTCGAGTGCATTCTGCTTCAATATCAAATTTTCCAAGACAACATCGCCTGAAATAATATTATGGATGGTATACCTCAGACATAAATAACTAAAGTAGTGGGTATGACATCATACTTTATATAGACGATAAACTTACCTCCCCATATTCCTAGTTTTAGTTGTGATCTATTCAGATTCTCAACATAATCCCCAAGAAACCGATTTAAAACATCGACCACAATAGATTCGAAAACCATTGCGATGTTTTGGATTACACCAAAATATTATTTTATATATACTTATGTCATGGCCTCAAAATTGCGACACACCTTTAGAGGAAACAACAGAGTCGTGGGAAGAATTCATGTAAATTATAACTTAACAAAAACCGAATTTTTAAGTTAAGCGCAAAATATTTAATTTGAAATAAACCCAATTTTCCGGACCGAGTTTACAACTTCTTGGACAAAGGTACTAGGATGTGACAACTGACAATTGACTTTTGTGTTTGGCAGAAAGTTTTGAGTGTTTGATGAGATTGAGAAGTATGATTATATTACGCTGTTAGCTATAGGCATTTTATCTAGCAAGTAGTAAAATAACACCAAAAACATTTGTTTTTTGTGTTGGCGCTTTAACTAGTAGATGTATATAGACGATTAGTAACTCACTTCTAAGATACACACAAATTTCTAATCCATGGATTTTATTCACAAATGTTCTTCAAAGTCAATTCGTCAATAATTTTAGGGTAGGTGAAAAAGAAAATGCACTTTTTTCATTTCATGAAACATTTATTGTACTTTAAGTGGAATGGTTATTATACATTATTTCGTATCGTAAATATGCACTGCGAAAGCTGTCTGTATTTAAGTAAATACGTTTCCTTTTAGGCTTTTACTAATAAAAGAGGATTAATGAATACCTACATTTCATTTTAACAAGTACAATCACATTATTTTTGTTTAGAATATACTAGCAACCAATAAATTTTATCATTTAATTGTATAATATGCTATACATTAAACTAATACAAAAATATTAGACTTGCCACATCCAACCATATTGGCTGACAAAACAATAAGAAAAATTGTATATATTTTTTTATTTGGTAGTGAAATGCTAGAACAAATACTACACTTTATTATGCTTAATACAACAATATAGAGATTCGGTAAAAATGTAAGTAGAATTGTGGGACATTTGCACTGTTTTCTTATATACTAATTAAAGTAAAATATTATTTCCTTAACTGTTAAAGCCATGAAATAAAAAAGAAAATTTATTTATATTTTAATTTCATTTATATGCAATTCATCCTTACACTAGTACCCATACATATTATTTCATGTTACACATGTTTTTGGGCGTTATATATAACGGAATATTATGCACGGAAAATTTAAATTTTATTCCTGGGGCGGTTAAACAACCAATATATATATTTTGTGTGACTTAACACTGAAATTTATTTATTGTAACTTAAAACAAGACGTCGTCGTTCAAATAAGTCTATTCAACATAGATAATAACTCAAGTAGTTGAATTCATTAATTATAGTAAATTGCTGACTTAGAATATAAAGCTTTATACTTAATGTATACCATTGACTTCGGTAAGAGTGTTGCCATTTTTATTATTGCTTAAATGTAGATTACCAAATGATATCTCATCATCAAAGTCGCCTTCATCTGAAAACATGTACTCGTTCAAAATTTCATAGAGATAAATATTTTAAGTATCTGTAGTAAAATTAAAGTAGTTTGGTTACAAGTATTTTATAAGAATTACTAATAAATAGAAAATCTCTCACCTGAACTAACATCAGATTGGCTTCTAGGGCTAAATCTACAACCTTTTGATAAGTAGTTTTTTAACTTTCCTGTTGATGCTAGAATTAGTCTGTAAAAAAAAAAATTTACGATATACAAAATATTTACCAAATATATTTCTGAGCCCCACAGAATTGAATTATATACTGACGGTGGCCTACGAGACAGTAAACATTTATGCTATAAAGATCTATTTAGATATAATGAGCATTCCAGCATAATTTTTAAACTACTTTCTTACCCTAAGAAAGGTGGACTAGGTGACAGTGGCCTTGAAAGGTATTCTGGATGGAACTGCACTGCTACATAATACGGATGTCCTTCTACAATGGCCACTTCCATGCGTGTTTTGGTCTCGTCCTTGCCCACAAATCGCAGTCCAGCAGCTTCTAATTTTTCTATATACTCTGGATTTACTTCATATCTGTGTCGGTGACGCTCTTCTATTGTATCTTTCTTGTATAGGGTTGCTAAAAGAACATCAATCACATTTTAATATTTTTTGCTAAATATGAAATAAATTATAAGATAATATGGCAGGAAAAAGACGATCAACGTTACATTTTATGCCTTCAACATTTTGTTTACTTCTGTAAAGATACATTACTTTTTTCAAACAGAAATGATTTTGTATGGAAGGATTAAAAGGCCCACCTTCAGTTAGTAATAACAAATACTGATTATTTTTATATTAATTTACAAAAAATAGGACATAACACTAGATATAAAGTTACATCTATTAGAGGGTTGAAGAATTTGATGATTACAAGGTAGCTCAATTGATTAGAATATGTCGTAGAGTGGAATAATCCCACCAATTTCCTTTTTTCCTTCAATTGAAATAGATAACATGTTAGTGCAGACACATGTGACATATGTTAGTGTAAAGGTATAATTTGAAATAACCTTAATACATACCCACAATGCTGGGTTCCAAGTAAGTCTTTCTTTTACCTAACCGCATTGTACCACCAAGATTTCCAGGATGATGCTCAGGCATATCTATTACTAATTTATCTTCACAGTTTGGGTCAACCTCAGTACTATTTGCTCCAGATAAACCAAGCACATTTCTAGCAAATTCTATAACAGATGCCTGCAAGCCGAGACATATACCAAGCATTGGCTTTTCTGTTTCTCTGCACCAATTACATGCTTCAATCTTTCCTTCCATTCCTCTCTGACCGAATCCACCTGGGACTATGACGCCTCTGAAATTGGTAAATGACCATTACCAGGACGGACGAATTACGAAACTCCTACTATCGATTTAATAGCGAATTTTTCAGAGGTGTTTCAAAAAATTTTATTAATAAATGTTGGACCAGGTGTGGTTCGAGTCCACAACCCGTTGATTAAGTATAAGACATACATTGCTACCGGTTTAATGGTATGAGCCGCAAAAAGGGGCAAATATTGGTCCAATTCTTTCATCAATATACCATATTATTTTATTCAAAACAGATAATTAAGTAAAATAAATGAAAATGTGGTAACTTACTCGCTCTTACACAAGTCCTGCCAAGCTTTATGGTAGCCCACAGGATCATTAATTTTACTTTGCTTTTCTAGGTTAACTGCCTCTATATAAGTTAAATTGAGTTTACACCCAGCAGCGATACAGGCATGTTGTAACGCCTTAGTAACACTGGCATAGCTGTCTTCTAACTGGGTATATTTACCAACGAGGGAGATATTCACCTCTTTGCGAAGGTTTTCCACGCGCTTGGCGAGGTTTCTCCATTTTTTCATAAAACTGAAATCAGAGAAAGTAGAATTTTTTAAAGAGGAAAATATATATACATAGTTAACAAACTACTTTTTACATATATACATAGTTAACAAACTACTTTACTAAAATTTTCAAACTTTAATTAAAATTATTATTATAATTTTTTATTTATTGATAAATAAAAACTTTTGCAAAAATTTAGAGAGATATTTGTTGATGAAAACACTATCAATCAAAATTAAACAGCGTATGTGTCGAATTTAGTTTTATAAAAGATTAGGAATATACAAATCTGATTATGCTATACTAACCCGCCTGGGCGTGGCATGGCTATATTAAGCTGAAGTCTCTCATTTAGATATTGTACGACACCTTGCGCCTCCATCAATATAGGCACATGGTACACTGAACTTAAATCATGAATGCATATAACCTGAAAGGAAATATAAAACATTAATACACACAAATGAAATAAAAATTTTGTAATTCTTGTACTAAATCAAAAACATAACATAAAAAAAGAAATATATTTCAGTCTCAGTTATGTAGATTTCTGAATATCTAAGGCTAAAATAGGTTGAAGGCAATTTTTTTTAATATGTTACATGGTTGGGATATTTCTCCGCATCAAGTAAACCTGTTCCTCCTCCTCCTCTACCATAAGAAAATATATGTTATTCAGTTCATCATATTCATTATGAAATACACACTTTAAAATAAAACACTTTAACGGTTTAAAACCTTTAGTTAACTAAAATATATCGCGTTTTAAACCGTTAAAATGTGTACTTCTCGCGTAAACTACAGATAGTATTAAATACACACTTGTTCAGGTGCGACATGACAGAAATTTGATATCTTTTCTTTCACATTGTGGTTTATCGGTTTTTCAGAACGGCATAGAATAAGGTCCGGTGACAATCCAAGACCACGCAGCTCTCTAACGGAAGATTGAGTAGGTTTGGTTTTTGGTTCCCCAGTTGACTTTGGCTGTAAAATAAAAATTTATAATTTTTGTTAAACATTGACCATTATATCGATATCTCAATATTAAAACTTCAAAATAATTTGTACAAAATAATAAGGTCAGTGCAGTTATGCTTACAAAATTTTACATATTATGCATTTTTCAGTACCAAAAGTTGCAAAGTTTTGTTTTCAAGTAAAATATTTTTCTAAAATAGAGTCAGCAAAATTTTTTTTTTAATATAATAAGCAAATTTTTCACATTTACTTACCATAGGCACTAAAGACACATGGGCACAGCAAAAGTTCTCTCTTTTTACTCTAAATTGAAACTGTCTAAAAGCTTCCACAAATGACATTCCCTCTATATCTCCAATAGTCCCACCCAACTCCACAATGCACACTTGCGGTGTTTTATCTGCAGTCACAGGTATGTGTGCTACTCTATCTACCCATTCTTGAACAGCATCAGTAATGTGTGGAATCACTTTAAAGAAAATTAAGATACATTAACTATTCCTACACAAACAAGATATCATAAGTATACAGCTAAATATACTTAGCTCTAGCAGTTTGTATAAACTTCAGATTTTACTGGTATTTTACTTGGGAATTTTGAACAATTTTTATTCCTCCTAATAATATCACGAATATAAGATATTCCTCACCTTGAACAGTCTTGCCTAGATAGTCACCACGTCGCTCTCGTTCAATCACTTGCTGATAAATTTTACCAGTTGTAATATTGTTGTCTCTATGCAGTGTTATATCCAAGAAGCGTTCATAGTTGCCAAGATCAAGGTCGACCTCTCCGCCGTCATCAAGAACGTAAACTTCGCCTAGAAAAATATAAATAGACGGCATTGTGTTATACACGTTAAACCATGCACATATCGAATCTATAAAATCCTCTACTGACCATGTTCATAAGGGGAGAATGTGCCTGCATCAATATTTATGTATGGATCAATCTTTATGGATGTCACATCAATTCCGCAACTCTTTAAAATTGTGCCAAATGAACTAGCTATAACTCCTTTACCCACGCCACTAATAACACCCCCAGTAACTAAAATGTATTTCATTTCCGGCATCTTAGAGCCTTTAAACTGAGTTCATAATACGATTAAAATTAAAAAATACTTTTATTTACATACAGAAATAAAGTAAAACTAGCACAAATATCCTATTTGCTCATTCTTGCACGTGTTTAAAATGTGCAAGAACGAAAACCCAAATATTCCGTACCTCCATCTGTTATCTGACATTATGTTAATAATCAATGTCAAAATAGTGGTATACTTTACAATGAAAAATAAATTTAACATACATATTACCAAAAGTAAATAATTATTACATAACGATTTACTACAAAAGTAAAAAAATATGATTTTAACGCAAAGAACCATTCTTATAGTATTTTTTTTATTTCTTTGAGATTACTTTAATGACGTTATCTGTGGCAACAACTAAGTTAAGACAGTGTAAGCGCTACTTAACGTCTGTGGCGATAGCATCGTGTTTGACATCGTCGTGTTGTTGTTAGAGAAGTTAAAATAATTTTCTAGTTTATAAGGATTAAATCAATATGCCGAAGTACTACTGTGATTATTGCGATACCTATTTAACACATGATTCACCTAGTGTCCGAAAAACTCACTGTACTGGCCGCAAACATAAAGACAATGTAAAATTCTTTTACCAAAAGTGGATGGAGGAACAAGCCCAACATTTGATCGACGCTACCACAGCTGCATTTAAGGCAGGAAAGATTGCACAAAATCCATTTGGAGGTAAAGGTGCGGCGATTCCTCCGCCATGGGATCCTTCTGTGATGGGGCCTGGAGGGCCTAGACAACCTGTGCCCGCTCCAGGCGGACCGCCTGGTATGATTCCTCCACCATCTATGGGTCCTGGTGGACCTATGGCTCCACCGATGATGATGGGGCCACATGGGCCTATGCCCCCAATGATGGGAATGCGCCCACCAATGATGGGCCCAATCATGGGGCATATGGGCCCCATGGGGCCTATGGGACAAATGCGACCGCCTTTGATGAATGGACCACCAGGTATGAACAATTAGTGACAATTTCTGCCTGAATTGGTTAAAAAATGTGGTGTATGAGTATTCAAGAAGTTGAATGGTTAACCTTCTCCGATGTTTGCAGGTTAATTTAGACAGCAGTAACATCATTTGTACATTTAGATTTATTTAAAATATTCTCTGTTTAATAAATATTGAGAAAAAATATTTTGTAAATAAAGATTTGAATTTGAATTGTGGTTTTATTCAATTTTGCTGATAAAACTTCATTAGCAAAATTACTTAAACCTAATATTGACAAGGCAGTGCATATTTAAGGGCATAATGCCCATTGAAACTAAATAAACTTCTTAAATCTGTATATTACATGTAAAGCCTTGTTGATCAAATAATAATCTTGGTTGGTTTATTGTGTGGCTTAAAAATTAAGCCTGAACATTTAATTGCAAACAATAATTAGGAACTATGTTGTATTTCTAAGTTTGCACCAGAATTTTGCAAAGATGATGGTGGTGAAACTGCATCACGACTAGACAATGTGATAACTGTTAAGTCTACAATCAAGAGAACTGTATTAATCATCGGTAGCACTCCATTAAGGGCTAGAGCTGGGTACTTGTCTGCAATTCCAGAAATATTCAGCTCTTTAAAGACGGTAAAGGATAGTAAAATTTGGACTAAACAGCATGCAACAAGAGCATAAACATGGAAAAACCAAGATGCATACTGGCGTCTCAGGGAGCCAATAATGAAAATACTTATTACTATATAAGTAACCATGATTGCGGTAGGTGCTATAAGTGCATGTGATATTCCTAAAGTTGGAGTAGCCCTTTCATTGATTAAATTTCCAGTATTTACAACCATTGTTAATATCCTGAGCTTTAATGAGCAACTTTCAACGCTCATGGAAAAGTCAGAACTTGCGCAGCTGATGTCACACTTCATGGGGAGACCTTCGATGCATTAAAAGTTGAGAGTAGTTTGATCCCCTTTCAAATTTGTTTTTATTAAAAAGCAGTAAAAGAACTTACTAAAATGTTCAATAATAAAACATGGTTAGTCATAATAACATTTTGACAATAATAATGCAAATAAAAGTTAAGAAACATGTTACTTAAGTCTGTTATCTATGACTTACCACAGTCCTTTATAGTAATGGAATAATTTACGACGGGAGTTTATAACAGAAAAAACACTGATATATTCAACACATTTTAATTAAAATCGTCATCATAATAACTTAAAAACTGTGAAAAATTCAAAACACTACACAATCTTTCAATAAATACTTAAAAACTAATTTGTATCTATGGAATTTATACATCACCATTACGAATGATTATTATTAAGATTGGCCCCTTTAGAGCAGCATTTACGTGGAAAGGTTACCTACAGTATGTGCATAAATATTATCTAACACTGGGCTAAATTGTATGTGCCAGCAGAAATGGCACCTTCATCAAGACAGGACTAGATTGAAGCTTCTATAAATTTTCTTTTGCCATATTTACATATCAATAAAAACGTATAAAAGTCGCTTAAAGCACCGCTTTATATATAAAAGGGTCAATTTTATTATCATAAGGCTGTCTCTAATGTACTGGGCGACGTACTTCCTCGTTCCGGAGAAGCTTTGCTTCTGGCTGTTTCTTGTGGCTTTTTAAATGAAGTGAGGGTAGGCTTATTTTCTGGTGGAGAGCTAAAGAACTCTGCTCGCTTTGCTTGCATAATTTCTGTTCGTGATAGGCCTTTCGAAGCGAATTCACTAGCGAGTGGAAACACACCTTGGTGAACCGTTTGGGAAACATCTGGGTCCATATCCATTTCTTTTATGGGAATGAGATTTCTTCGCGCACCAAAATGTTGATTAGTAACTATAGGAACTGTTTTTGCTGGTGGGCTAACAGGAGAAGTTTCGCGTTTTTCACCAGAGCTATTAGAATTCTCTTCTTCATTATTAGCTTCTGGTATAGGAGTGGATAACACGTCGGACCTCGGGCTTGAGAATCGCCATTGTGCTTTGGGTGAGAGTAGAATCTTTGGGGCGTTTTTATGATCCTTCAATAAAGCATTAGCTCTTCCAGGCGATAAGGGGGTCTTCATTATTTTCCTCTGCGCATAAATCTTAGGCGATGAACTTAAATCGAGTATATTGATTTGCGATCTATTTCCTGGAGGCGTCGATGGCGCTTGTACCTTTTCTTTTGATATTTTTAATTGTTCCACAGCGGATAGTTTGTTTGATTTATTTTGAGGTAAAGTGTTTAATTTAACGCTGTGTTGCAATAATAATTTTTTGAAATCCAACCTAGAAGTCTGTTGTGCTGGACCGTAGCGATCAGCACAAGTCGTTTCTTGTTTTGGTGAACCGTAATATATTCCGGCATTTGGTGATCCACTACCTTTATCAGCAGGAGACCAGGACATTCTACACCTGGGTTCTCCTAAGTAGCCTGTTTCGGGGTGTCGCTGTGACCCTTTACCGTATAAGCACGTTTCGGAACTAACAGGCGATAAGCTTATAGTAGACAACGCTGGAGATTCGGCTCTTTCAGGCGCTTCTTTAATGTTTAATTTCTTTTTACTCTTATGTATTACTGCGTAGAGCTCTTCGTTTGTCATAGTAGATTTTACGGGAGATAAAAGTTTTGATGTGAGGTCTACAACGTTTTCTTTGCTTGTGGGCGTGGATGACTTGAAGGTCGTTGACGTTCGTGGATCTATTGGTGATATCCTTATAGACTGGTCGTGCGTTTGTGTAGGTAATAAATGACGTTCGATTTCAGGTTTTCTTTGATAGTAATCAGTTACATTAGTGGGTTGGTTTCTTTGCCGTAAGCTAGGCTGTGTATCTTGACGGTCAGTGCGTTGCGGGGGGGTGCGGGAGAGTCCAAAACTTAGGCTGAGGCTTTTGTAGGCCCGTGTTGTCGTAGTTAACCACACCGTGTTTGCCGTTTAGATGTGCAACATTATTGCGACGAAGTGTCGAGGTTAGCGAATGAAAATCGAAATTTGGTCCATTAGTTTTGGGGATCGTTTGTATTCCATTGAGCAAAGGGATGGCAGCATTGGAATGTAGATAGTCTGAAATAGTAAAAACTGAGGATTATTATTCACAAATTAGATTATTTCAGGTTTTAAAGGTCTACTTATACATTTTTACTGTTAGGTAACTAAAGCTAAATACACGGCGTATCAACTAAGACGCTAGTGGCCAAGCTTGCTTCACAACTCAGTGCATTTTTTTTAAGGCAACACCTTTTGCCATGCGCAAATTCTTTGCCAAAACTTCTATTCTATTAGATAATATACATAAATCTATATGAAACACATACTTTTAGGACATTATATAAACCCAAAGCTATTTTAATAATAAAAGTCTAGTCTAGACCGCTTATAGAAACCGCAACATATAACTTTTATCTATACAAGTGCATGGTATTTTATTCCTTGCTTATTTATAACATCTAGTTATATATGAATAATTAGGTTTTATGGGTTAAATAATTGTTATGTGTTACAAAGTGTATTTTGTTAAAATGTAGATAAGTAAGTTAGTCCAAGCCCAGTGTTAAAACGTGCAAATTAAACAATGACATGCCAAAAAGCAACAAAAATTTTACCTTTGAGGAGCTTGAAGTTACACACGCTCACTGTGCAAAAGCCATATTTTTAAAAAGTTTGTTGAAAACTTTAAGTCGGGACTGGAAAATATCCCTGTCCAAGGATTGCAGTTATCACAAATTAATAGGTGTTATGTGAAGACTTTACTTTGTTTTATTTGCATGGTGTTATTTACAATTTCATTAGTTACACTCGAATATTCCAATGTTACCTAGTAAGTTAATAATAATTATTGTGTGTTTTAATGCGAAGTTCTATTAATATTCTCACAACTGAATAGTGAAGTAGGTTTTAATAGAACCTCGAAAGCTTGTGCATATGATAATGAATGGTGGGGGTGGCAGAAGGAGTGAGAAATAAATGAAAAGTGTTGTAATTATTATATTTTCTATTACAATATTATTTACAAAACACAAAACGATACAGAATATCACACCATGCACTTACAAACACAGATATACACTCTAAAGCTGTGCACGAGGCATGCAGAAGTTAACGACTTAAGTGACAAAAAATAAAACTTTCACAACACTAGCAACTCAAGTTGACAAATATATTATAACTATGTAACAACAATTATAATCACAGTAACATGTAGGTAAGGCAAGGAAGACTTAAATCTAACTACTGGACGGATTTTATGTTATTAAAATACTCGCAAACTAATTCTTATAGGCATTTTATCTTATGATGAGGATTAAATGGAATCGTTACCAAATTTCAGTGCCATAATCAGATTCTGATACTGATAGAATTCGTGCCCTATGTAGAGGAGAATCAACAGGTAAAGTAACTTTATTCGGTGACAAAGGACAATTGGGAGGCGAGTGTAGAACACAAACGTCATCAGGATCAGAATCTAATATAGCGGTTAACATGTCCATAGCAGTGTCTCTATTATCAGGCACTATTGCAGTGGAATGTCTCTTAGAGACCGGAGTCGATAATGGGCTAAATGTCATTGCAGATAATTCAGCTTCGAATTTATTATTGACGATTGTATTCTGTATATTGTTATTTATACATTCGCATTCATTGTCTGCGTTTATAAAGCTCCTATGGGTGAGTTTAGGAGAAACTGTTGATGGGTAATTAATCTGCTCACGTAACAAATCAGCGGTTATCTCCGCCTGAATCATTTCGAATGAATTTACCTTTTTTAGCATTTGTACTGAAACTTTCGAGTTTAAAAAGTTTTTTTAATGGCATTAAAGGCGAGTTAGCCAATTTGTAACTATCGCTACGCTTTACTTTTGCAACAGATCTACAGGTTTCGTTTAGTTCATTTTGGATAGAGTTGTTACTGTCATCGCTATCTTTATTTGCAAATAGTCTCATGACTTCAGCAACTCTTTTGCTACCTATCTTACTCGATTCATTACCACACTTAGCTTTTAGTATTATTGGGGTTTGGAAGTTTGGCACAAAAGGAACAATCTTATCTTCAACTAAACTGGGGGAACGTTCAGTGCCGTCTAAACCGAGTAAAACATTATTGTTCGATATGTCTAAATGTTTATTCTTACCTGGTGCATCATCTTTCGTTGGCGATAAGCTGACACCCTCTGCGTCGTGAATATTTACATAGGCTCCTGTTCTAGTTAACGCTTCAACGATTCGAGGAAGATCTGAATGTTTATTAGTTGTGGTAATAGCGGGGGCGTTGGCGAGATTTGGCGTTTCGGTTACAGGTGTAGCAGTTATGATTGTGTTGGGTTTTGGAGGTGGCAATGTTATGAATTCTGTAGTGATTGGCCCGTGCGGTTCTACTGGCGCCTTTATTATCATTTTGCCTAATTGCGGAGATGTAGGTTTGCTCGAAGGCGGCGGCTGTTCGTATCCATAGTCTGTTTCATCAGTAACTGTTATAATGTCAGCATTTTCACGCTTGATCACGGTTGTAGTTGGCGATATTTCCTGGACAAAAGGGCCGGGTTCGAAGGTAGTGTGCGCACCCTTTCTCCTTTTTAAAGTATCCGATGAATAAATTACTTGGCCGCGAGAATCTAGTGTGACTTTCGCTCCTTTTTTCTGCATGTCTTCTAAAGTTCCTGGTGTCTTATCTTCCAGGCCATGATCTAAATAATCTTTACTACCGGTCAAACAATTTGGAAGTTCATTTAGTGATACGTATTCTGTTTCTGGCTTTCCTGACAGAACAGACTGCAAATTTTTTCCAATCACATCTGCATTAGCATAATTGCCTCTATTTAGACTCATCTTTTGGTTATTATTTTTAACGTCGGCTATAGTAACATAGTCGCCAGTGTCAAAAATGTCTTCAAAGTTTTCTACTTCTTTTGGAACTGGAGATTTTTTGTTCGATAACTTGTTTGGAAGTACACCCTTTAGTTTACACATTAAATTGTTGAATGGCAGCAGGGATGCCTTTATTTGACTTTGTGCTTTACTATTTTTACTTATTTCAACATTTTTAACTTCTTTAACCGTTTCCTCGTGAGGCAAGTCTAATTTAGGCCTACTTTGAGATTTAACCAAATTACTTTCAATTGGTTTTTCGTTACTGGGTTTCCTAAGTAGCATAATATCTTTCTGAACTTGTTCACCTTCATCATCCGAATTTGTTGGCGTTATAACACACATGGATGGTATTCTTGAACTATTAATAGTAGTTTTATACCTTATTCTTTCTATCCTATCTGTGCCTTCTAGATCCGAAGATTCAGAATAATCCTGTTCTGAAAGGCTATTTTTGCCATGAGCACTGGAAACTGAATCTTCAATAGGAGAACTAGACGTATTATGTCCTGAATCGGGCGAGCTGGTCCCCGTACTCTTCTTTGCATATTCTAAATCAGTTTCTGTGTGAATTTCAGCGACTGCAGTTATTTCTCTATTATTTCCAATATTTCTAGTAACTGTAACGGTCGAATTTGGCACATTACTTATTTCCGGCGAAGACTGATTGTAAATATGTTTGTCAGTGAATGATCTCAAAGCGTTGTAACGTAGACTACTAAAAGGTGATTTATTAAATGAGTTAGAACTTCGATCTAAGCTTGCGTTGGCACTGTGTATATTACTGTTCCTGTTCCCTCGATTCATTTTCGTTAATGAGCTTTTCCTTTCCGGTACCGTTGGACCTACAGTTAACGATCTATCACTTCCAGCTGCCATCAAAGTCGTACATACCGTTCCAGCTGAACTTGTAGTTGTACTTGTTGAGCCTTTACCAAATAGCTCATACTCATTTTCAGCTGTTAAGTTTTGACTAGTTGAAGAATTAGAGGATAATGCAGTTGAGGTATGTAGCGGTGTACTCGGGGATATTTCTTCTTCTTTCAGTGTTTTTAGGCCAGAATCCATGTGGAAGGAGGTGTAATAACCTTCAGTATCACAGGAGAATTCTGAACTAGTTTCTAAGTCTTCATGTAAATCGTGGATAATGTCAGGTGTGAGAGTGCCTTCACTGGTGACACTCCCCGAACCAGAAGTATTAAGAAATCTTCTTCTACTAATAATTGAGCTGGGTGGACCGTGATGGAAGTTAAGTGAATTATTAGAAGTTCCAGCGGATGTAGTACTCTTGGGAGGAACAGTCGTGGTCGTTATTTCAGAGCCGATGCTAGTCCGCCCCGACTCTGAACTCGCCGACCAATTTCCACTTGATGAATGAGGTTCCTCTTTGCCAGTGCCGGAGCGTCTTAATCTTCTTTGTGTCGATGTAGTTCTTAATTTGACACCACTGTTAATAGTAGCCGTGGCTGGCCCAGAGGGAACACCTATACTTTTTTCAGACGAAGAATATGATGCGCATCTCTGATGCGTTCTGCGATCCTCATCACTCGTTCTCTTCTTTCGCATCGTTACTGACGTTTCATTAGTTTGCATTTCTTCAGAAGTAGGCGGAGATACAGATTCCCTGCTTCTCTCAATTTTTGATACATCTTTGAAACTATCACGACTCGCACTTGGAGATCTGCCTATCATTTTCAATCTATTTTTGCCCCACTGTTTCAAACTATTGAAATGTCCTTTCTTTATCACTGGGTCTATCGGGCTCTTCTTAAGTAAATCGCTTGATCGCGATCTCACGACAGTACTATCTTCAACTTCTTCAGAAGGCACAGCATTTGGTGTATCACTATGATAGAACAAACCAAGCAAAGCATTAGTCACACGCTAAAGGCAGTATATAACAGTTATACTTCAAAGAATTCAGCTTAGTCTCGTAACAGCTGAGGTCTTCAAAGTTGTAGGTAATTAATCATGAAGCTATTGATTTCGGCACTATTAGTGTAACAGTGCACAAAGATTTATTAAATTTTATGAAAGTTTAATTGACAAAGTGAACAACGACAATAACAAAAAATTAAGTATTCACAAAAGCACGAATAATATTATTAACAGGTTAAGGTGCTCACAATTTAATTTCTAAGCTTTCCACACAGTACTGTGCTTTAATTCGTATTAAGTTTTAACTACGATTATATCATCTACTCGTTACGCCGAAATCTGTATGACGTGGCATAGGAAATATTTGGTAGATTTTTGTGAAAATAATGAATTTAATAAGACAGTGAAGGTTTATTCAACTTTGTAGATAATATAGTCGTAGCGATTCAGTGCAATCTAAAAGCTTACCCAGCGATAGCCTCTCTAAGCTCTTTCTGATCAGTGCCCGATATGGTGTTGCGTCTTTTACCGCGGGGTTTTCTGGTGCGCGTCCGTCTTTTCACGGTGTCCGTTTCGCCTGTACTCAACTCCATGTGAAGCGATTTTCTAGACGTGCACATTCTGTCGAAGAATTTTCCCGATGTATCTATCGCCACTAGTTCTGGAGTGAATCTGAAATTGTTTGTTGAAAATGTTAACATTCGACGTTAATCATGACAAAATTTTCATTGATAAATTACAAATAAAGGAACAGCAATCTTCAGTAAGAAGTCATAAATATCTGTAAGTAGTTAGAAAGACTAAATTAAAATGACAAGTCAAGAAAAATATATAGTGTAGTAATAACGATAAAATATTAACATTGTCGTCAACGAGTCATCAACTTGTCAGTCGATAAAGCCATGTTAATAATGTAGATTTCATTAATACAAAGAAATAGAGAAACAGTAAAAGTCAGGAATATCCATAAGCAGTTAGGAAGACTAAAAAAAAATTAAGAACATTTTATACTAGCCAGCAAGTTCATGTTCTATTTTTAAACATTAATATCGATAACATTGGCAAGAAAAACAATTGACATCAAGCAGAGACGCTTAAAGCTTACCAAAAGTCCTTAACTTTGACGGTACTGTCACTTACTTGGAGGCAATAATTCGTAGCTGCTCTTCGGGACTCGGAAGCCGATGGTCGATCGGTTCGTCGTCTCCAGAACCGCATTCGGAGAGTTCATCCGGCGTCAAAGTGACACAGCTGACTATCCGCATGGACGCATCCGGCAGCGCTGTCACGTCTCCAATAGCCTCGCGTGAAGTCCATTTCCGAAGTTGCTCAACCACAGATGGCTGCGAAGAAAATTAACAACTATTTATAGCGAATAAACTCAATGTGTAATTTGATGGGCTAGTGATAGCAATGTATGGCTAGTAATAAACAGGGTATGGGATCGATTCGAGACCGAATCGTTCCAAAATTATTGTAACCAATTTATAATTTTGAAACATGGGTGACAGTAATATTGAAATCCCGTCCGAGTCACGACCCACCGTCCACAGGTGAAAAAGCCGTGTGAATTTCAGCGTTTCGGTTTCAGTTTGTGGATATCTCACAAAGCCACATAGGGCGACAGCACATCCTCTTTGAATGTTATACGGGTGGGATATTTGGCTTTCCATCAAGTATACCTCATGCTTGTCTTATATAAAATAAGTTTATGCATAAATATAAATAGTAATTATAGTTATTGAGAAAAACAACAGGGTCTAAATGATGAATACGTTTTAAAGCTACTTACAATACGTGTTTCAATATCATCAACTTTATGATAAACGCGTCTCCTCCTAGTTGTAAGTACAGGCGTGCACAACAAGAACGGTGAATGCTGAGAGTCTTTTCTGAGCTGATCTAGTATAGAAGTCGAAAGACGGTCGGTGGTTGCCTTCTCATACAACTTACGCAAGCTAGTGGGCCTGGAATAGAATGTTCACATTGTTATACGCATTGAGTTTTATAGAATCAGACGATAAAACGCAGGAATCGGGTTATCGTGATTCGTAACAGAAGGTAACTGGTAATAAGGAAACTGTACTTTCATTTGAGAGAAATTACGTTTGTTGGTCAAGTTTTAAGTTATATAATAATTATATTTTCCCTGCATAATCTACAGTAAAATTAACATAATTCCTTCAAAATGCTTTGAATTGGAGGTACGATACAACTAGAACTAGTAAAGATGCTAAACTTTGGACTTCAAAATGCATGTACATTGCTTATTTTACTTTTTACGTTAATGTGTAAATTATTTGTTAAAATTTTTGATATTATAAATTGGATGGCTGGCTCTATATACAATTATTAAAGTCAAAACAATACAAACAAATTTTACGAAGATTTTTAATAACTACCTTCGTTCATTGCCTAAAGACTTTTGTTGTCCCAATGATGCAATAAACATAATACAAATAAGGATAATAATTACAATCAATTACCTTGACTCGACCGTAAAGAGATCCTTCTTTAGAGGGTTGGTTGCCGTGTAGTGGATTTTGCGTATCGCAAAATCGGACAGGCTTCCCTCCGCTGAAACAAAAAACATTAAACACATTTATTTCTTTATACACAGTACATTTTCTTCACTCAATTAAAAAACTATTTGACTAAATAGAGAGCAGATTTGACGCGGAGTTACAAAATAAGGTTTACAACGCTTCCTCGATCTATCAAATTGTAGGTTTAACGGCTGTGAATTGTGAAAGAAACATAAATTAATAGTTAACATTTAATAATGTCAATTAATATAGAACTGTGAAGACTTTCAAAGACAACAGTCAATGTTCTCATTAAAAAGTAGTCGAAACGAGATTAGCACTAATCCGGATGTCAACTCGATATTGACAATAAAATGCTATTTTTAACGCTCTACTGTTTATCTGTAGAAATAGCATGTGCAAAATTTTTTATCTGTTATCTGCAATTAATTATGAACAATTGCTTAACATTTCGGATACCATTTGTTTATCCGTAGTCGACGTGAGTGTTACACATAAAAAAAAACAATTAATTGTTTTCCTTTTTTAAGAAAAGCACCGGTCAAGTATGGTTGTAGTTATTTACTAACGAACATATTTGGCGTTTGTTTAAAATTTGTTTTATTAGGCAGGCACTTTTAAAATACGATTTTTGTTGTTAGCATGACTTGTGATTGACAATTTAAGATTTCTTCCTTACTGCTATATTATCCGAAATAGGTTTGTGTTCCATCTTAAACAAAGTTATATTTCATGTAAATAAATAAATTAAAAAAAAAAACAGAAGTTGTATATTATCTGTTGATCTGTTGATTTCTGTTTTTAATCTATATTCCTTATAGACGCACATTATCTATAATACAACGATAATTTATTTTCAGTTTGGAGACCAACGATCGTGAATCGTCCACATCATTTCGTGACTGATTGCATTAGTATGAAACGAACTCAAATTATAGCTTCAATTTGCGGTAATTAGGACGGATGATCTCAAAGGGAACATTTGAGATATCATGGGCAGAAGTAATAAATCTTGTTTTAACCAGTTCAATTATTTAAATTAGTAGCATAACCGTCATAATATCGGTTTCCTTTATTTTTTTGTTGAATAAAGTGAAGGAATATCTCTAAGATTGAGTTTATATACACATATAAAAAATAATCAATAACTTACATAATTTTATACTGAAATGAACGCAAAAATATAGTTAGTTTATTTGATTGACTACCTAAATATATTTGCTAATACAGAAACGATTTTTTATTTAACTAACCACGCCTCAATACATAACATCCAAAGCCTAAACAAGTTAAATACCGTAACTCTATAGTTCAGGTATTTAAATGGAATAGCATTATGGACTGGTATGGCGAGTGTTACCGTACCGGCATTCCGAAGACACAAGAGGCGCATAAATTTACTGCGCGTTTGTCCTCAAACTTAAACTTTGGGCAGCCTACGATAGCAAGACAACAAATATGTAGATAAGTTTGGCACTAGTGGTGATCAGAAATCTGCTTATAAGGCTTCACACTCTGAAGGTGGTTTTATTATTAGATTATGACATATGTGTTGGCTTCGCGTTCATGCACGCGAAATTGTAAATATGTGAAAGAATAACTCATGTAGGAAGTGACAAGATAATAAGTGCAGCGTTTAGTGTGGCTAATTATAATTCAAAATAATGCCGACTGTACGTGTAGTTTTTTAAATCGATTACTAATAACTTCGGGTCAAAAACTAAAATATGCTAAATATCAACAGATCGTGAGTTCGATCCCCGCCAGATCTGGAAATCTGGATATTAAACGGGTGGCAGGGAAATATCGAAATTCCATCCAGGATTTCTGAGTACCCAAACCCAAAATAGGTGGACATGGTATCCTGTTGACATAAGGTTGATATTTTATCTTCCATTAAGTGAAACGCCATGCTTCTCTGTCCCGTCTATCATAAAAATGGTCATAAATGTCGCTATTATATAGGTATTAATCTATTGGTTTTGGTAGGAAGTTTGACTTGTTATTGAACGGTATATAACCCTTTAAATATTGTAATAGACGACCGTTTTATTCAAAGCAACGATGAATACCTCAACTAGGTTGTAAACAAGGCATAATGGAACCGCTTATTGAATTCCCATAATGGTATGCGAGACCGGCCACAGCCTTCCCCACAGATAGTAAGATTCAATAGTATTGGGTCGCAATAAGAAGTAAACTCGAGGTATTGTGAATCGGCCTTGGTCTGGGCCGGATCAACGCGGGAGGCATACCTTCATCACTAAGTAGATCGCATACAACATTCTTAATGGCTGGTATTTCCCATAATTCCATTAGTAACAATCCAAAATGGAATTCTAATGATGATACACAAATGTTACTTCACTAAAACAAATAACTGGCTAGACTGAACATGCGCACAATTTAACCGGCGATGTTGTTAAGTCTTATTCACTGGATAACATCATATGTTCAGAGTACAATATCATACCGAATATCCAAAGCCAAAATAGGTCGACAGCAGATCATGTATGGTATTTCATCTACCATAAAGTGAATTCCATGTTTATTTGTCCCGTACATCAATAAGATATTAATTATTATTACTACGAGTAATTAAAACACTTTAACGGTTTAAAACGCGATATATTATTTTTATTTCCAAAACGCGATACATATCATTAAAACATAATATATAATTTAAATTATGTTTATTTTAACTACGGCTATTATTTTGACTCCCCCCTGACCACGGCAAAGCAACCGAAAAGTTAGGCTGAAGTCAAAATATTTTTCAAACAAATTTAACTAATATATATCGAGTTTTAAACCGTTTAAGTGTTTTTTTTTAATGTGTACTACTCGCGTAAACTACAGACAGTATTTTACTGGAGTACTTCAAAAATATGAACAAAAGAAGATGAAAAAATGTTAAGGTAGCATATTACTTTACAACTTGCTTTGAAGTACTAAACAATATTGACATTCCTCATTTAAACGATACTGATTACAGCAACATCACAATAGAAAAACTCCATCGGGACCTCTTTCATAAAAATTACTAGATCACAAAAGAAATAGAACGAAACAATACACAGGCAGCGTTCTCGATCACTGTTCAAAAGCTGACAATTCATAAAAGAAATAGGTTGGTTCTTGAAACACGTAGTAGTTTATTAATTATAACGAAGCCCTTTTGTTGCTCATTGCATAAGAGATCCCTATATGTAAAACAGGCAACACTAGACACGCAATTACCACGTTTCGAGTCACGACTTCGCAAAGGCCTCGCAAGGACGACAATATCATCAGAATGTGGAACTAGTTCTACAGGTTTGGGATTCGTGAGATGCATATTATGAAACATTTCAGTATAAGTTTTAGGGAAAATGTGCAACGATGATCTAAAAAATATACATACATACTGTCTATAGTTTACGCGAGTTGTACACATTAAAATAAAACACTCCCCGTGACCACGGCTGCTGCAAAGCATCCGAAACGTCGCGCCGAAGTTAAAATAACTTTCAAATAAGTTTAACTAATATATCGCGATTTAAACCGTTAAAGTGTTTTATGTAAAAATATACATACATATTTAAATATAGTTTAAGAGAAAGATTTGTAATTCATGAATATGTACAAAGTATTAAGATTGATGAACGATGATCTACGAAATATACAAGCATATATTTCGTCTTCGTGTCTACATTCGTTAGAATTGTTTATTGGAAACAGATTAGCTTTGTTGTTTTGCCTATTTAGCATCGAATCAGAATGACAGATTTATGATATAAAACTTGAAACGAATAAAATACTGTCTATAGTTTACGCGAGTAGTACACATTTAAATATAATACTTTAACGGTTTAAAACGCGATATATGTTAGTTAAACTTATTTGAAAATAGTTTTTAACTTCAGCCCGACGTTTCCCCGTCAAAGTCCCACTCTTATTCCTACACTCACTCCCACTCCCATTCCAAAAAGCCAAAGAAGAAAGTTTCATTGTTCTAGCTTCAAAAACCACGAATTTCCATACAAACTTTCATTCTCTTTTTCAACCCCTATCAACCCTTTCAACCTATCAACCCCAAAATAAGTCAAAGGCTCTAAAATATCTGTGTAGCAAATTTCATTTAAATCAGTTCAGTAGTTTCGGAGTTAAAGACAGAGTTACTTTCGCATTTATACTATTAGCAAAGATATAGATTTTTAATAATTTTATTCATAATTAAATTTGATTAAAGATCTGTCCGTCCTTACGATCTGTCGTATGTTATATCCATGTATGAAAGCGAAGCTTGTTATGCCCAAGATTGCAGACATATTAAAGCTTCACAATCTTATTGGCTTCTTAAGAAGCATTAAGTTTTCATGGAGATAGGGTGTCGGCAACTTTTAAATTACAAACAGAAGCCTGCAAGACAGATATCCAATTACAAGGATTAGTTAATCCGTGCGTATAGCCTAGAACGTTAAGCTTATTATCATTTTTATATTTGTTTTTTTTTTTGTGTTAATTCTGGTTGTAAAGGCATGGCATGGCATGGTTGGCATAAAATAAAGAGCACGCACATTTATACTAAATAATAACAAATTTAAAAATGATTAAATAATGTGTATAATGAAATACTCACAAACATGCGTTTTTTAAATACAATATTTTTTATATTAAAATTGTGTTGAATTAATAAAAACGACTCATAAGTAGGTAATTGTTTTCTATAATTTGTTAGCTGTACCATTTGATTGAAAAATGACATACTAAATTTTACATTTGCTTTCAACAAATTTTCAAATGAATTTAACAGCTTAGTAATAGAGTTACTGGCATTTTAGGTCACGAATCTTCTATAGAAAACTAGGTGACGTTCTGAGTTCGGCCTATAGACTTTCGAATGTCATAAGCAAAATGGGTCGACAGCCCAACCTATTTGACTGTGTTAAGTCTATCGTTTAATGAACTCGCGTATGCTTTTCATGAAATCGGGTTTTCCAAAAAAATGCCAATTAGTCAATCTGACGGCTGTTTTTCATTAAATACAGAATCTCTTACAGTTTCTGTACCCTTACTTGGCGTATGAAGGAGTAAGTTGTCGTTGCTCCGATCGAACTGTCTAAGTTTATGAATATGTTTTTGTTGTTGTCTGTGGTTTTATATAACATCTATGCCAAAATTTTGCGTCTTCTTACACCTAAGGATTACTCACTTACTCTATAGACATTAAAAGGATCAGTTTTCTGTTGTACATATGAGTATTTTAATTCCAAAATTCCACAACTATTACAGTTTTTATATCCAGAACAGAGATCCAGAGTGAAGGAGGCTTATTACAAAGTGCGTGAATCTTCTAGTGAAATCATTACGACCAGAATATTCAAATATGCAAAGTATGTCCAATTGCGCTTAAGTTTTGTAGAAGTTCTGGCTTCAATGCAGACGTCTTTAGTGAGTCACTCGTCTTAGTGAAGTATATTTCGGGAACGTCTGTGCATCTGTACAAGTGGCTCGTTCAACCGAATAGGCTCTTAAGATGTAAGACATTGCTTGTCTTCGGGTCAGTCTTGTCAGTTCCCCGCATTTAATTCCCGTGTTACAAGGTTTTTATAGATAAAAAGGCAGCTACATGAAAATTACTTTAATAAAATATATATAGTTTCATTCGTGAGCTATTAACAGAAATATCGGTCGTTTTAATAATTGATTTAATTAGTTTTACTTACCAGTGTAATTTAGACTAAATTGTAAGACATTATTAAGTACTTCTATGAAGAAAAATATTTTGACTTTTTTGAGGCCGGTTCCGCTATACGCTATACAAACATACATTAAAAGGTAAATAAGAATACATTGGTGTAAAATAACAAACAGATATTTGAAGAAATATCCTTAATTTGCGAATAGCTCTCCTCACAATAAAACAAGCACGTCATAATTATTATTATTTTGAAAAACGGCTTATGTAACGTATAACAACTTTTAAGAATATAGTAACAGTTATTTTGCATAACACTCAACAATTATAAGGCAACGTAATAAGAATATTACAAAGTGCACTTACTTGAAAAGGAAAGATTTACCAGATAATGAAAAGATATTAGGAGCTCTCTCGTTCTAAGTGAAGAGTAAACGCTTGTTTGAGTACGACACACGGAAGGCTCTAGTTTCCTGTGAAGGTTCACTGCGATACGAGGAGTGAGTGTTTACAAGGAGAAAATAATTTTTCTTCGTTTTGAGAATATACTTAAATAGAGTGGAAAAACTTAACATTATACCACGCCTACGTCCTTATAAATCCTGCTGCACTTTGTATTCCAATATTTTTATAGTACGACCTTTAAAAAGTTTTATACAGTTTTTTGGTTGACTGTGCCCGCGACTTCGTTCGCGTAGAATAGTTATTTTGTACATCCAAATTAGATTTATTGAACCTACATATATCAATGTTAGCCGTTACCCACAACGTGGTCCGCCTCCCGTCGTTCTTGCAAGTTAATCTTAAAAGGTAGACAATTTTTTAGATCGTGTAAAGCGGAATCATTCTTCTATACGTATTTTTGGGTATGTTGAACCGTGTTCGCAGCTCACGCAACGGGAACCCACGAGAACGATTTACACACACATTGTCACATATGCGTAAGAGTTATCACCTCGGTTAAAACGACGGCGGTCCCTTTACGTCGGCATCAACATTTACATTTCCCATAAGCTCCTTACCTTATTGGGAATATCTTCAGGAAATTGGGTAGACGTTTTCTTAAGGAAATCACTTTTCACTACTAAAATGTTCAATGACCTCGAAGTTGTGGATTAGAGGATGCTTAGCATACTATACCATCAACCCCTAGTGTAGTACACCTAGCTGGAAAAACCTAACTGTTATTGTAACGACATTCCTAACAACGAAAACAATTTCATTTTTCGTTACCATGCTGTGCGCATGATGCAAAGATCTTTTTCATGATAGAAAAATAGACAAGCATAGGGTTGATTTGCTGGTATGGTGTAACCCTAGCCATATACCATCTAAAAAAGATGCGTTGTCTTTAACAAAACATTGGACGAAAATAATACGATTTTGCGTATTAAATCATTAAAGAGGTTTAAGTTAACATGGCGATAGTAAAGATATCTCAAATTTCCCGTAAAACTGATACAAATCAAGGATAGGTGATAAAATAGACGCTTTTACGATTCCCAGGATATACTGTATAAGGACATCGGCACGTTTAGAACCGTTCCTTGCATAGTTTTAACGAGTTCAGTACGTGAGGTGATTAAGACGAAGATATTGTATATTATTGGGAAATAATATATTATTAATTTGAGTATGACATATATTTTAAAACTACAGTTCGATTACTTCGATTCTCAACAGAACATGATAACATGAGTCAATAACATTAGGGTATTTGTTTAATATTACATATATATATGGTAGGTATACCTCAGGGTGTTTATGAAATATAGTAAACATTGTTTCTTAGAATTAGTCTGCAAAACTTTTTACATTGGTTTAGCCGTCTATACAGAAACTAAAAAGTCGTCATGATATCGTCTTAATGAATAGCTCATATTTACCAAATTATAAATAAGTTTTAGTTTTCGCGTTTTAAACCATTTCATTTTTTTATTAAAATGTGTATTACTCGTGTAAACTACATACCGTCGAAGTATGTATTATTCTCATCATTGTTTTACGTTGTTTATTTTAAATAAATCAAGTATTTCAAGATTTTAATCAAGAATATTTATAATTTTGTTCTTTAAAAAAACCGGCGGAGTTTAATATTATTTAACTATATTAATTACGTTTGTTCGTATTTTTCATATTTACATTCATTAATAACCAGATGAATGAATCGAGATAATTATTTAACAATACCTACTTATAACGCTATTGCATTTAAGTGCCCCCTTCACATCAATTGACTGACAAGTAAGTTATCAACTGATTTACCTAGTTAATGCAATGACAGGGTGATTGCTACTTGAAATCATCACCATAATTCCAGTTACTCTGGTTTTGCGCAAATTAATGGATCTTTGAAAGAATAAAAGTGCTAACTAGTTGATAGTCATTACCTGTCAATTATGTTTTTACAAAATAATACACAATGTACAGAAATTTAGCATGCATGTTTATAAAGTTAGCAAATGGCAGACAATGTCATTTTGCGCCCAAAATATATAATATTTATTTTTGTTTCATCTTTCGAAAACATACGTTTGTGCGTGAACTGAATGGTCTATGTATTGAGTGTAGAAATTATTTATTGCTTACTTTAATCAACGGGTCGTAGGTTTGATGGTCAGGTTGCCGAATATCCAAAGTCAAAAATAGGTCATCGG